TCTTTAAATATTGAACAATCTTTAGCGGGACAGACCTTTAATATTCTTTGATATTCTTTATTTTTTCTCCGGTAAGGGCATCCAGCAAGAGTCTGCTCTTTAGAATGATTTGACCCACTTTTTATGGCGGCTCATTAAAATGTCATCACTTGGATGCCATTGTTCATTTCCTGCGAAATTGCAACAATTGCCAATGTCCGTGTCCTTGTCCATGTCCGTGGCCGTATACGTATGCAGACTCTTAATTTATGCATGACGGGGAACCGCAAGTTTCACTTAAGGTACACTTGTTAAATGGGCGACAGAATTGTTGATCGAATTGCCATAATGAAATCCTTGCAGCGCAATATTTAATTTATCAATTACAGCCAATGGCGACACCAGATGCACTTCGGCTGGCCCCCTCAACGACCAAAGATAAGTCGCTCTTCATTCAGCATGTGTTTCCATTTGACCATTGATTCAGCTATAGATTCAGGCGCTGGAGCATCGGCTGGTCCAGAAGAAGTAGCCATGCCATGCCATCCCCAGTTATGAGTGGCCATAATGAGATTTGCTAGCTGATAATCGACTTTTATTTATGGCCATTGTGGTTTCACTTACTGAACTCGAAGGGAGCTGACCACCGATTGCGGGGACCATAAATCTGAAGTGCTACGAGAGCGTTCTGTTGGGAAAACATTCGAGTCTAGGGCGAGGCGAAAAGAGCAGAGAAGTTTTATCAGAAAAAACGAAAAAAAAACCTTCAGAAGTTCAATGCTCAAACGCCCAGTAGAGTAGTGGTAGTTGACAGCTAAAAACAAGTAAATTCTAACAAAAAATAAAAGAAAGTTCTGTGGCCCAAGGAGAAATAATCAACATTGGGTGGCAGGTGACGGCTACATCAGTGGCCCAGGACTCAGTCCGTCCAATTCATCATCACCGGATATGCACATGGATGTCATATTGCCAAGTGTCTAATTTAGAGACTTGTAGGAATATCTTTGCTATTTATTCAGAAATCCCTCATACAATGGTATTCATCGCTATATAATTCTATGGAGATGTTCGTGCAAGAAAGCGCGATCTGCGCCTAGCGAGGACTCGACCATGACTCTCATTTAATGCAATAAAATACATAGTCCCCGCCGGCATCCGGAAACTGCTTGCATAGTGAATGCCTCAATTATATTCCAAGCGGGCAACAAACTCGATTTACTGCCGAGAGACTTGCTATGGGGTGGTCGGAGATAGTTCGATTGAAGGCTATACTACTGCCTAGCATATTGGGAATGGGAATAGGAATCAATCGGCTCAAATCGCATTTGTCTCAGAGCTGCATCGGCAGGAGACGAAAGAACCATCAGCATCGGGCTTCGTTAGTGTAATGAAATTTCCGAACAAATCAAGCCAACAAATTGTTGCGGCTCTCCTACAGATTCACTGCTGTTCTGGCAATGAAAAATTTGTGGTCAATTGTTTAGGTTTGGGTTTGGCTTTGTTAGGAATTGCAACCAAACTAAAATTTCGAATGTCAATTGCGTTATTCGAATTGAGAAAGTATTTCAGCATAACTTTAGTTAGAACTTGCCTTGTAGCTTTGCTACTAAGTCACATAGCAACAGGCACACGGATTATTACTTTTTTTTTATCGCCAGCCACGCCTCGCTGCGGTACATCTGGTACTAGTATGACTGTTATAGAAAATATATATACCCTGAGGAATTCATATATTTCGTTTTTGTTGGTCGTATAGTGACACGTTTGAGAATCGCATATTGAGAGGTTTCGGGGTCGAGTCGCTCATTACTCAATATGTCCTTTTTCTCAAAAAGCTTCCTTCAAGTGTCGCTTCCTGTTCATGTTCATTTCAGCGGATACGATTAGTTCCGTATTCAGCGAATACCATTTGAAGTTACTAGTGGGAAAAGCGGCGCTTACACGAATCTACTATACGTATACTTTTGTATAATTATATGCAAATCGGTTAAGCAGAACACTTGATTTTTGTGTATACAGAGCAGTGGTCGGCACAAACACAATTAAATGTTTTACAGTGCGCTTCTGAGCGAAGACAGCGGTCAAAATGGAACAAAAAATGTTCGTGATGTTCATTGTGTTATACAATATATATATATACATATACTATATGTTATACTATAATACACTTGTACTTGAGCGGCAGGGCAGTAGCAGGAGACTTTCCTCTGCACAGTAAAGAAAAAACGGCATTAACAGCAGAAAAATAAGATAAACAGCGGATGAACAGCAGATAAGCAGCAACGGCAGAAGGAGAGCACAGCAGAGAAGAGAATCCCAGCAGCCAGTCGTAACTTTCAGCAGCAGCAGCAGAAAATTAGCCGAGATCAAGCCGAGCCGTGAAGTTAAGACTAATTATTCTTAAACTTACCAGCCTACCCCAACTTAATACTATCAATAAACTATATCTAAATAATATCTTACATATATGTACATAGAACCGAGGAAACTCAGCAAAGTTAATGCTTAAATTAAATTGATATAGCTGTTAATTTGAATTTATGGAAATATGGCTTTCTATTAGTAAATAATTACAGATAATTGCAATTGAATTTTCTGACCCCCCAGAATGTGCTTGCACTAATGAGTTTGATTTTTTCCCCGGGGGTAATTTTTCATCAAAAGGGTTTTTAAAGTGGATTGATTTTCAGTATTTAATTAAATTGATTGGTTTTTTTTTGTATTTTTAATAAAAAGCCAGTTTCTTGTACTCAGATAAAGTGCAGAGGTAAATATTATCGTAATATCGTAATGGATTGCGAAAATTAACATGCTTCAAAAGCGCACAATGATGAACATATTCATTGGTAAATCATATACATACATATATAAATATACAGTTGATATATGCAGTAAATATAATTATAAAATTTAGGCCTTTCATTCACTAATCCAATCACGCGTCAGATAGCCATGCGTTAATTAATTATTTCATTTCGACATGCAGGTTGCTTTCTCCTTCCATAAGTGTGTGTTTTGTTTTATTGTATTTAATCTGCTGCCACACGCCCCACTAGCAGACAGACAGCGTAATTAATTCAATGAAACGTAATGGGCCGGGGAGGACAACAAAGATTTTGGCCGGGAAAAAAATCTAGCAAAGGCTAGAGTGAAAATTTTTTGCGCACGTAAGTATGCAACAATCTATTTCGTTCATGTTCGCAGACAGTCTGACGGAAGGCCAAGTCGTTGAGTGGCAGGCAGGGAGAGTGTGGGCAAGAGAGAGCATGAAGGCTGGCACATCTCTCTATTGACCATGCTGTGGCACCGAAAGTGTGCTCGAATACCGCTGACTGGAAGGAGGTTCGACTATACATATGTATGTATATATGTATGAAACCACTTTCAATCTGACAACTTATCCAACTATCAGCTGTTCAGCGCTGCCAACCAGCTTATGCAAGAGCTCATGCATAAAAACCGAAATCGTTGATCGATTAAATCAATTGGATACCTCATATTGCAATTGCCCTTAGCCTTCCCATCCATCCACTATAGGGTTTAAACATTAAGCCAACCACAGGATAAGCTGCGGGGGAGCTGGGCCAGATCCTGAGTGTGTCTAGAAAACCAAAACAACTTGTCGGCATCATTCTCTTTGGTCCTGACAGCATGTCCTAGTGCGCAGGCCATGCAAAGTAATTCATTAACATTTAACTTGATTGACACACGAGTCGGGGGAAGACTATGGAGATGGAGCTGAGAGTCCTGAGACTCAGCTCGCAGTGAGGGCTGATGTTTTTTCTGTTTGTTTCTGTGGAAAGCACGTATTCCGGGGCACGAAGATGAAAGCTGGGAAGCACGCATACGATTTGTTTATACAGTTCTAATGCATAATGGCATCGGATTTGCTGGCTAAGGATCCCCACGCACCTACACAGACAGAGTGCGAGTGAGATGGTTTCGTTGTTAATTTAATAAGAGGAAAGACGACAACAGGTGCTGCTCCACAGAGCCAGGGCCTCCCTTGTTGGCCAAAATGAAGTCACGTAGCAGACATAAATCAATTGCTATGAGCAGGCATTTGTGCCGTTCCAATTGCACGACTGCATACGCTGTGCGGCCGACCTCATAGCTGACGGTGAGGTAGGATCGATGGCAGAACTTTTGGGCCTGGACTGCTACTCCTGTGAGGGCTGACTAGCGACAGCTGGTAACTCGTAAATTGAGCATAAGCAATGAAAGTGTAACGAGTCTTAATTTGTTTACCAAGGGCCATGCCACCCGTCCTGGATATCCACAATATGCCTGAATGATGCCAAATCAAATACCCAACTGGGACTAATACTTCCCCAGGCAATGTGTGTCCGGAATGCTTAAGGGGAAAAGTTAAATTTAAGTTTTCGAAATGATTGATCGATTTCTGAGAACTCTTCCAATCCGCCAGGGAGGTTTGTCTTTCGTTATGTTGGAAGCGAACCTACGCATTGAATTCGGTTTGATTTCCTCATTCCGGTTAAAAGGAGAATACACAAAGCAAACATGCAAACTGCTGATTTATCTGATTAGAGGCATTCTTGGAAAATTCGCATCTCGCTGGAGATTCTCCAATGAACAGCATTTCAATTATTTCCAGGAAGTCCCATAAGTTTGAAGTCCCACCATTGAGTCTGTCATTTTCGTTTTAAAGCACTGTTACTCAAATTAAATAACAATCAAGCAATCTATTTGGTGAAAGGTTAGCCAGGCAGTGCACGAAGCTATTGATCCGAAGAATTGGAAGCGAAATCAGCTCAAAACGATAGAAAGTGGATATAGACTCCCCCGTCAACGCCGGGCATGAATCGTTCCCTTCTGCTGCATTTCCGCTGCATTGACAAATTGAACGCAATTTCAATGAAGAATCCCTATAAAAATAGAGAGCACTGCGGGACAACGACATACCCACACCTGCAATATTCCCTAATCCCCTTTGACAGATGACAGCCTTGAGTGCCCCACGGGGCAGGCCATTCAACTCAAATAAGGACTTGCAGGGAGCATTTTATCTTTAAACTTGTTGCTGTATTTGGTTTACATACAATGCAGAGTTGCGCACAATGAAGGTGGCGGCGTGTCCTGTGTCGCCGGCAGGTCACCAGGTGAGAATGGTTATCATGGCGCGCAGCAGCTCGAGAATGTCCCATCCGTTGCGACGCAGAATCTTCAATGCTCTGGCCACATCGTGTTTCTTCTGCAAATTAAGACAGATATAGATTAGTGTGGATTACAGTCGTAGGAGGAAATTCGAAGAACCCACAATATTGGCGCGGAGAGTGTCCTGGAACTCTGTCGACGTGACCGTGCGGGAAAACAGGGCAAAGTTCGAGTTCTTGGACTGGGCATCCACGGAGTAGCCGTGCACATCACTCTTGGGCATGAGGGCCAGCAGGTCGGCTATGAAGCTGTGATTCTTCTTCTTGACCTTACTGCAGTCGCAGCTCTTTTCGGCCTGGGGCACAGGCAGCGCGATGCACGCAAAGATGTCCAGGATAAGCTCGATGTCTGTGGTGTTTACGCCGGCAATCTGCAGCTCCTGTAGTGCCGTCTGATAGGCCTCGCTCTCCTGCAGCAGCAGGGCCACCTCCTCGAACCCGGGGGTGTTGAAGAAGCGTATGGCCTTACGGAACTTGGCGTCGCACTGAGAGTGCGTGTCGATCAGTGCCACCAGAGCCTCGTGGTCGATCAGGCCGCGCACATCCTGGAAGGCAGCGCAAAGGCGATCGTCCTGGCCATCCTTGTCATCGTTGAAGTCCGGTCCGCTATCGGAATCATTTCCTCCATCTGGGGGACAATATTCTGAGTCATTTCTGGCGTTGGACTGTGCGAACGTGTGGCAAGCAAACACCGCCAGCACGACGCAGAATAAGGTCAGCGTCTTCATGTTCATAATCATCATCTATCTGGCAGAGATTCGCGTTGATTTTGGCTCTGAACTGTAGCTAGCCACTCGCTTTTATAGCCACTTTTCTACCCGTAGATGCTATTACCAGCATTTCCTTTCCAGCCACTTCGCTTATCAGGCGAAAACACCAATTAGTGTAATTTAGAGCCGTGCATATGTCTTTCCTCTTATCAACCAGAGAAATTCTTAGAATGACATCTCGGCACATACTCATACTCTGTCATGACGCATGTAAAAACAAGGCCTGGAAAGTGGCAAAAACACCTTCTTAACAGGTGATTACTGAAATACTGAATACTGAAATGAATCTATGCTGTATTTGTCATTGAATTTCTCCACTTTCTTGTGATGGTATCCTTTACGCCATCCTCTAGCGTGGGGGTTGCTGGCGTTCTTAATCCTATATGATCCGCTTATTAATGCGACAAAGGCAAGGGACTTATAAATTATGCACTCGATGACGCTAGTTGAGGATACTTTGCATGCGATTATAGTAATTATGAAATGTCTGGAAAGTAGGTCAGGAAAGTGGAAGGGCATGACTGAAAGTCTGTGGTACATACAACAAGTGGTTCACTGCAGGGATTAGCTTCAGCCACAACTGGTATTCGAACCGGACAGAATACCAAACACTTGGACCCATCAGATGACAGCCCCAGAATGCAAAGGACTCAACCGTCCTGCAAAAGTAGCCGTTCTCAAGGGGGGTGGGGGGGAAGGGGGTATGTTTTGGTCGGGGACTCGGAAATGGTTTGATTCATGCCCCATTGTTTGTCCAGCAGTTGCGTTCAGTCCGGAACCATTTTCAGTGCGGGCTTTGAACAAATGGTAGACAAAAGAATGCAGCAATTGTACGTCGTGCGATGAATCGTATGAATTTTTCAAATTCAATTTCCTAACACAACGTAAAAATCGTTTGTAATAATATTAATAATCATACGCACCGTTGCACCGGATCTATATCTAAATTGCCATGGGGTCTCACAACATGCCTCCCCCTACTTATAACGTATCGCTCCCCATGACAACCAATTGTAACAAATATTTGCCAACCAATGTAGCGGAAATAGTTGCATTCTTTTTCAGTTTTGTTTCTTGTTTACTATATTTTTTATCTGCCCGTAAAAAATGCCACTATACTATCGCTCAATGGCAAATAATGATGCATGTACGAAACAAATGGCAGATAGCAAAATGTGAACACACTTGGAAAACTCTAGTTTGCCGCCCCAGTTGCCAGTAAAACTGCTCTTCAGTTCAAGTCCCTTCCTGCAGCAGAACTGCGATTTATCTGTAAGAATGAAATGGATCCAAAAACTGATACTATGTACAATTTAGCCGGTCAGCAGAACTTCAAATGAAGCAGATAAACTGCAGGCTGGATTAAAACTTTCCGTTTTCCCAAAGGTTGAGTTCAAAAGTATTTGAAAAGCGTCCCCGGTAACTTGTTGCCAAGGTCAAGTGCAATGAACACACACATTCATGTGGAGGAAAAGTTAAAACCGTGATCAATAGTTGGCCCTCCAGCCCCTTGCCATTGCAATGGCATCGATTGGCATCCATCGATTGGCATTAAACTTGTGTGCTGGCTGCTAATAAAATGCCTTTTCTAAAAGTCAAACCGCAGGCAATTGAGCCGCTGTCAGTGGAATATTCTCCCTCATACAGGCCGTCGTACTACTCTGATTCCGTCTCTGCTGATGGCAAACCGAAGCTATTTCTGATGTTTCCACATCAACCACAAAGCAGAACCATACGCCCTCACGTCCTTACATATATGTACCTACATAAATGTATGTGTGTGACAATGCCACAAACTTGTTTGCCGCTCCATATATGGGAAACCATTTTCATTTCCCTGGATAATTTACTCAATTAGAGCCGAACTGGAAGGCTTTGTGGCATTTACGAGAATCGCTTTATTATTGCACTTAAGAGATGTCCAAAGGCAGCTGGGAGGGGGGAATGGAACAGTGGGTGGGGCACACACATGCTACTCCTAGATCCGACTGACACACTAAATTTAGTTGGCTGATAAAACTAAAGTGAACTAAGCCGTAGAGGCTGCTAGGAGGAGCGATGGAGAACAGATAGTACAGGGGCTGTGAAAGTTGAACAGCTAACTTACTTCGATAAACAGGCTTAATTAGCGACCAAAGCTGAAAGTCAACAGACTGTCAACTGGAGCTGGCACTAGGCGCATTAGGACCAAATCCAGGCACACACACACACTCAAGCATATAGCCACGCATACTAATAATGTTAATGCCACCACCAGCAGGGCCCAAGCACAGTGGATAAGGGCTAGCCGTCTCACTATCAAAGATCCCTTTGCATGGAAACAGATAGTTGTATTGAATTCTCATAATACAATAATTTATTAGATTTAACTTTCGTGTTTCGATGGATATCATTATCATTAAATAGATATTATTGAAGGCTCAGTTATTTAAACCTGCTAAAAAATCCGAGTTAAGCACTTGCTGGATTTCGCCCCACAGTGCCTGAAGCTGGACAAGAGTTTCCTGAAGAGTTTCGTCGACTGTCAGGCTTAATTATGTGCAAGCAACAATGATATTTGTATTATCAGCCTGTCAATGTCAAACGTCAGAGCCACCCACTGACCAGCGGCGCCATCACCAGATGCCAGCATATTCCATCCCAAGCCGCCACCCCACAGGACTTAATATAGGTTGGAGAACAGCAGCCAAAAGGGAGAGTGAGCGGGGGCTTTAAAAGGTTTGCGTTTTCCCTGTTACGCCCACGACATATGCACATATACGTATACCGATTGAAACGTGGACGCAATAGACCAAAGTATTTATGCAAACACACACAGTCACACACACACTTACCTCCAGAGTCATGACTGTACTTGGAAAAGCCTGGAGACGGAAGAAGGCAGTTGGAATGGTGGCAGTAAAAGCGAGAAACAGTTGAAATGGAGGCATAAATAAATGCAGATTCATGACTGTCCAGTCAGCAGACAAATGATGTTCAGTTGAAAATCAGTGAACCCCAAAATTTCAAGATTCCCAATCCTTTTGCCTTGGCCTTGATCTTAAAGTCTCAAGACTCTCGAATCGCATCGAATTGGAAAAACGACAAATAAAACCTTTGTCGCCTAGTGTTGGGCGGTAAACAATTAAAAATGTCAAATGGCAGCGGGGAATGCGGAAAAAAGTACTCAGGGGCAGCAAAATGGGCGAATAGAAAGTGACAGCCCAAAACACAATGGCAAAGTGTTGTCATCTCGACAACAGGGAAAAAATTGTGCACCCTCATGTGGCAGTCACATCTCTCAGTTTTTAGGACATCTCTCCGATGGGCTGGTGGGCTGTTCTTCTGTGTGTGTGTATGTAGATTTTGATAGAGACAAGGGAAAAAGAAAAATAACAAAATTATATATACCCTGCATCCGAGAACGTCCAAAGTATGACCCTTTCAAGTTTTTCGGTAGCAGAAAAAATTCCTATAAAAATTCACAAAATAAAATGGTAGACAAAAAAACCACCTACTAACTTGAGAGAACAAGCAGGAAAAACGGAATCACAGGAAATACCTCAGAAAAAGTGCATGCAAATCAACAACAAAAAGTTGATTCCATGAAAATTCATGAAAATCGAGCTAAGTTCATGAAAATGCATTTAATAGCATTTCGGCAAAAATATTCCACAAAGTGCTATAACGCTTTTTTGTCAGTTTAGTGGAATTAAATATGTTGTCAGACATATTGACTTTTTTAAAACTTTTTATGAGAATTAAAGGGCTTAATAGTAATTTATCGAATTCTTTTCCAAAGTGTTGTCTTTATATTCCAGAAAATACCAATTGAAATAGATGGAAGGTGGCAGAAATTTTCACAACCCTTTAGTTTGAGAGGTTCGTATGTTTTGAGTTCTTTTCTTATCCCAAAATAACATCCTCCGCTGAGGTCTGTTGCGTAGGATAAAGGTACAACATAGATATGAGCAGTAGAAAAAGGAAATGTAGAAAAGGCAAAGACAAAGGCATGCTGGAGTTTGTCTAGACAAATTGTGCCCTTATGCCACTGCCACACACACGCTCTCAAGGACACCGGCATGGTTGAGGCTCATTTCTGCCCAGTCCACCCTTTTGGAATCTCTGTGTGTGTGTGGACTCGACACGACTGGAGGGTTTATCAGTTTAATGGCTGCCATACTCGCTGAGCCCCCATTCAGGTGAATGGTTGCTGGGCCTCGAAATTGGCAACATGAGTTGGCAGCAACAGCAGCCGGAGCAGCAGCAGCATCATCTGTGGGTGAAAAAGTAATTTGTAAGCAAATTATGATAAATTGTAGCCGTTGATGAACCCGCGACCGGCACACCGAGCTCAAAGGGAACTCGCAGGATACCCATAAACAGGAAAGCAACTGCTAGAGACTACCATGATTTAGGGGGATGGGATCTATTGTATTCATTATTTTAGATAAATTATAAATAATGTGCTGCAGCAGCCAAACACTCTGGTTACAAAATTCAATTTGGGTCAATGCGGAACTCTTGACAATTTATGGCCAAGCAATTGCATCGGAATTGCCAATTTTGCGGGCATTTATTTAATGAAATGCAAATCAAATAGTTCTTCTCGTATTTGTGTTTGTCCCATAAATAACTCGGGGGAAAACCCCTTAGGAATACGTACATATGTATACATATGTATATTCGTATGTTTCCTTTTTTTCAGACATCGGTCAGGCAGCGGCTCAATTAAAATTACATTAAATTGGATTTGAATTGCGTTTTCCGAGCTGGCTTTTCTTGTGCCTGCCCCTTTGGGGCAACTCCCTTTCCCGTAGCTGGAATTGCCTTTTTGTGCAGACAGCGCCACAAGCAGCAGCAGCAGCATCAGCATCAGAAGCAGCTGTCTATGCATTTGGGATTTGAGCTTAAGACAGAGACGAGGACGACACTCAAAGGACTTGCCCGCAGCGCCTCCATCTTTCCATCTTCATCTTTATCCCCACCATTCTTCCTGCCAGCCAGCCAGCCAGCCAGCCATCTCCTGTCCCCTGGCCTGGCTGTATGTCTATGCATTCTCTGCTGTGGTATTTTTCATGTCGCTGCATTGCTTTCAGCCACCAGCTCTGGCCAACTTCAACTCAACTCGGCTAACTTGACATTCATGCAATTTCCAGAAGCAGAAGCAAGAGCGGCACTAGAACAAGAGATAAAGCAGTGCGAAATTTTAAATTTGCCTTGTTTGTTGAGTTAAAAGGTGCCAGGGCTTCGAGTTTGTTCCATTTTGAAATGGATTTAAATTTGATTAATTGACTAAATGGCCATTCCATACTTAGCTCCATTCTGTACAAGACCTCGAAGTATTTTCCCTAGTATTTCGATGGAAAGTCAATTGAAGTTACTTTCACAAAATATACTAGTACATGTATATAGGTGCATAGGAAAACACGCGAGACAATCCAATTTCACTGAAGCAATTCAATTGAATAGAACACTTTGATTTGAGCTGAAGGGGATTGATTGGTTTCATTTGGGATCAGGTAAACTTGATCTAAAATAAATTGAACAAAAATAAATAGACACGTGTAAACTTTCAAATGCAAATAAACATTGTCAGGGGAGAATTCAATTTGCTAGCCCATTTGTCGATGGATATCTACACAAGAATTACAGCGTAATTGTGTGGAGTGGTATGCACCTTAAATGGCTGCTCAGGTCAGTAGAAGTTCAGTCAAATCTGTAATAATTCCAAATAGTTGACACCACCAAGCCACATGCAAATTTTCTCACACACACAGAGAGAGAGAGAGAGGGAGAGGGAGGGAGGGAGGGAATGGCCATAAAGTATGCATCGAAAGCGTGAACACGCTCTGGGCTGCTGCAGTACGAGCATTGTACATAACCGAAACTCTTGTTAAATATTCAAAATTATTTGCATGACCGGCTTGCCAGTATTCGATGTCGATGGCAATGGCGATGGCTACAGCGATAGATGAACGCTTCGGGGATCGGGGCATAAAGAGAATCGTTCAGAGGACACAAACACCTCGCACACACATCGGCATTTGTTCGTTTGCATACTTGATTTGTGCATATGTGTGAGCAATTTATGTGGCAATGGGAACTTTAGCAGATTTGATATTCAAGCGCTCGGTATATATGTATATGTGTAGTCTCTCTGTACATACATATGTACCTATGGATAGACTCGTAAATATGCCAGAGCGGACATGTAATACGATTTATATGCATGAATCATATACAAATATTTCAGTGTCCTGCCCCTGTCTGTCAGCAGCAATTGGCGCCTAACCAAATGCAAATTGGAGGAATTAAAAGCCCGAAAATATGGAAACTAAATGGAAGATCATAGCTTGTGGAGTTAGTTATCGAATTGCACGAAATCCAAAAATAATAGACTTCAAAACTGGCAGCGAAAAAGGCCTTTCGTGAATATTAAAACTGTTGGATTGGACATATGTACATTTTAAAACAGAACGATTCCAACCTTAATCCCAATTAAGGACTGGTTAGCCTTTGTAGCGTAGCACTTAGAAATTCTCTTTGCTTTAAAAGAAACGACGCCAATTGAAGCCCCTAGCAGACAGAGCAAATGACGCCAAAGACATACATAATTATGTACATTTTAGAATTCCACACAAAATGACTTAAAAACCTTGATACAAATATATTAGCTCTCGAACAATCTCATTTGTGTGCAATCAGAATGTAAATATGCCTGGCCAAGCTGTCAGACTGCTAATGGATAATTTGGTACGACATGCTGGCCTATTAGTTCAACTGACAGGCGAATAAAGTTAGGAATTTTGTTGGGACATCAGAGTGCGGTTAACCCGGCTGCAGACAAACCTCAAATGCTTGGTCAAAGGCCCTGCCTTCAGGCTGCTGCCGCTCCTTCAGATACTGCCACACCTTGATTACATTGATGCATTTCTACATCATTAAGCCGTCTAAACACCATTAAGGGACAATTTCTGTGTGTGTGTGTGTGCCACAAGCCAAGATGTTGAGGTATATTGCTTGTACTAGTGTAGGTGGGTATAAGTCAAGGATAGTCGTATCTGGTAGGCATCTACATAGACACACGTGTGCGCGTGGGCTGGCATCACTTCCGGTTGAGTGCTCAAGCACAGAGACAAACGAGCGAGTGCTGTTGTGTTACTCCGCACTCATTTACCGTCCACTAATGGCAAATCAATGGGCTGACTCAACCACAAGAGATCCCCAAGTCCAGCTCCAGAACCGGCTCCGGCTTCATCCATAGCTTTCGCATTCCGAACCTGCTGGGCCCTGGAGCCGCCAGCTGCCTGGTAAATGTGTTGATGACACTTGAATGAGTTTTTGGTCTTTTGTTGATGGTCTTTCCTTGGCGCCTCACGCTAAATTGCACATATTATTTATACATAAGGATTCAACTGACCATAAGTTATGTATATTAGCTAATCGTTAAAGTTGCTTTCGGCGCTGGCTTTATGAACTTGCGTCATTGTGCCCGACTTAGCCCCAACTTGCTTGACTTATGAGTACATCTAGATTTAGCCATTCAATTTAACCTTTAGCTGGGGCTTGGACTCGAATTAAGATGGAGACGGTGGGGATGGTGTAGGGCAACAGAGTTCTGTCGTTGGTTTGGACTCTTACAGATGGCTCTGATATTCCAAAGGGCCTTCATTGATTTTATATCAATCAAAGTGTCAGCAGGCAAAAACCAATCTTTTAAAAAAATTTGTAATAACAAATTCACAATGAATCTATCATAATCCAAAAAAAAAACAAAAACAAATCTATTTAATAAACGAATTTTGAAATATAGCAAAGAAAGCTAATCAGAAATCGATTTGTTAGAACACCCGAATACCTTTACAGTACACGCAGACCTTGATGCGCCGCAGAGGGGTTAATAATAATAGCAGGTCACGCTCCTGGGTGCTTCCCTTCAGAACCTAATGCTCTGGCCTTAGAAGCATGAACCAATAGCAATACAATTGTAACCCTTGGCTTTGTTATGGGGGCATTAAATTCCAATTACACGTTAAGTTGCCGCGTTAATGGCCAAGTTAATGCATTTGCATTGCTCCAACCTCGGACGATACGCCACTTGGGGAAACCCAAAGCGATGCGGGGCGTGCCCGTCGTTGCCCCAAAATGACAGAGCACGTTGAATACATTTTCACATCTATATTTATGTGGTATACGCATCGGTGTATAGTATGTTTCTTTTTTTTTTCTTTATGTATCCAAGCGGTATAAAAATTTCTTTGTACATGAATTTGGTGGTGTTTGTGTGAGTGTGTGTTGGAGCTTTTTTTCCCTGTGGCTTGGTTTGCGTCCTGTGGTGGTGGTATTTGAATGCAAGGTCAAATGAACTTTTCACCTTATAGTTATAAATAATATGCATGCGGCGATTGCTGAATACGCTTAGGATCTAGAATTAAGATTAAGATGAAGCGGGTAGTCCAGGCGGCTTGTCAATGGATCGAGAAACTCCGCCCTGTAGCCTAATCAGTGTGTTTAAAAGTACTATATAGCTTCAAGCTATGTTCGGGGCTTGCTTTGCTGTTATTGGGATATCCGTATTGGCATTCGTAGATATATTCGAACTAAGATAAATCTGATTTTCTTAACATCACATTGTTGGTTCTTTGATAATAGTCGCAGGGGCCGCTTAATAGCAGCACCAGCTGGGCCTCTCCACCTCGCCGAGGGCTATGTGCTCAATGCTCCAGGGCGGCGTCTCCAGGCGGCCGACACCATTCGTCTTCACATCCTCGCCCTCAACGGCCAGGCCGATGTCCACGTACGGCAGTCGGAAGGCAGCATTGCCCGGATTCCGAGCCAAGGCGGCCACAGTGTGACTAAAGGCAGTGTTGGTGTTGGTGTAGGCCAGGGAATCGGTGGACTCGAAGGAGCGCAGCGAATGGCTCTTACCTTCGTCGGCGAGACGCACCATCCCCAAAGCCGTTGAGAGAAAGACCTGCTCCAGTCCCTGATCCGTTTCGGTGGAAGTCTCAAAGTAGGTGGCCCCAATGGAGGTGGCAAACAGGAAAGCCTCGTCGCGGGAGACGGCACGCTGCGCCTGCATGTCCATCTTGTTGCCCACCAGCGTCAGTATCATCGGATCCTGGACATTGCGATGCAGCTCCTGTATCCAGGACTTGATTTCCGTAAACGTCTTATACTGTGTCAGATCGAAAACCAGAATGGCGGCATTCGCATTCCGATAGTACATAGGTGCCACCGCCCGGTAGCGCTCCTGGCCAGCGGTGTCCCAGATCTTAAAGAGATGGACAAATGGTTGAATGATTAGAGTTCGTCCGTGACTTGAACTTTAATTGAGTCATTCAGTCACTCAGCGTTTATTCTGCAATTGTGGTCTTTATGCCCGCGCGCTCCCACAGCAATAACAATCATCTGGAGGATTGTGGAATGTGCACTTCAGCTGTGCGTCCAGTCCTCTTTATGCCCTCTCGCCCATTCAAATCTTCATAAAAATTTGGGGCAACGACATGTTCATTGTCGAAACTAAATCGAAGCACAGGGGAACCGCAGAACGAGACAAAGACCTCTACGAATCCACAAATACACGAATACACAAACTATATCCCATTATGTATTCATTCTTATTGTTCTCAGACGGGTATTTCTGAACGGTTGTTGGGTTTGTCGGGCTCTTAAAAAGGAGAATGTTGTTTCTTATGGAAAAATTTAAACCTTGAACTTTTTGATTTAAAGGTCCTGTGTCTAAAATTGGAATTGTGCACCAAAAAGTTTCGTAAAACGACTTCACAATTATTGGGTTACCCTAAGGTCTAGTTCATAAAGAAACGACACTAATCGAAATGAAACTCTACACTTATCTTCGGGTTACTTTAAATTTCACATTCGATTCATTTCCATTTAATAGGGTACAGCCCAGTCGAGGGTGTGCAGGGATCTCTCTAGTTATTGCAGCTCCCATTGTTATATGGTTGCGTATAAAAGCGGAATAACCCAAGAGAAAATATGGGAGAGAAAAAGGGCTGGCAACCCTATCACAATGGGGGAAAACTGCTGCTGCTGGCCGCCGCTCGCGCTCAGCTTATCAATAAACTATAAAAAAAGAAAGTGCGCTACAAAAAAAAAAGAAATAACAGACAAAGTGCAGTGGACGCAGAAATTGCAAAATAAAAAAAAACATGCAAATAAAATAACCGAGCTAGAGGTCAGGGGACAGGGCCAGGGGCAGTGGCAGTGGCAGCAAAAGCCCAGATTAGCGTGTGCCTCCAACCGTTCCGGGGATCCAGCAAGCAAATAGGATTAGTGGGCGTAGGGCCGAGGGAATTCCTTTGGCTTTCGGTTTTTTACGGCCACATTCCAATATTTGTGTGGGTGCCTGAAAGGGATGCGGGGTCGATGTTCGGTGTTCGGTAGGGTGGTTGTACGCACTTGCAATTTGATTTTGACCTCGTCCAAGATGATGTTGCACGTGAAAAAGGAGACGGCTATTGTCGGCACCTCGCTCTCGCTGCGATGCAATGTGTTCTTGATGTATCGGATGACCAAACGCGTCTTGCCCACGCCTGTAACGACAAACAATTGAAAGTAAGACTCCCATATAATACGAATTGAATACCCCGAGTCTTATCTGCAGACACCGCATGGACGGGCAGCAGCGCACGCATTAATAGACCTTTGATTAGTCATGGCAGAGTAAACAAAAACATGAAGCGTAGTTATATTTGAGACGTAGCACCCTCGTAAGGTGGTAAACAATGATAAGGAAATCGCTCCGAAGGCCCCAAAACCACATTTCATTGTCTGAAATGCACTTGCACTTGAGAATCCCCGGCCATGACTGTACTTCTGCTTTGCATCTCATCTGGATGGATATGTAAATGAATCATATCTAGTCTAGGCTCAGGGAAGAACAGATTTCACCAGGAACAAAACGCAGATGAATCAATGCCAGCAGCCACAACTGGATAAAGCATACACATCTGTTCAGAGTACATATGTACATATATACTAGGTGCATAGTATTTACATTTCTAGGTGAACTTTGCATGGCCTTCAACAATTTAAATATTAGCATTACAACAGCCGATTAGACCTAGGCCTGTCGAAATAACGAAAAACAGCCAAAGCAAACGAAAAAGTTGCAAAGTCGGGTACAGTAGAGACTAGCGATTGGGTATGGGAACCACTGTGTGGATGGGGAATCCAGTTTGAAACAGAAATCGCCTGTGAAAAAGGGAAACTACTTTGCAGAACTTTTTACTGGTAGTAAGATACACTAAAGACAGACCTCTAGAACCTCTAAACGCTGGCTTTTCTGACTGATGTTCAATTTAGCGGGCATTCCCTGCTTCTGCTACTGCGGGCGGCTATTTCTCATGGAGTTTAGCAGACTGATAAGAATATTTCAGACCAGACAGCCTGACTGACTGCCAGACCCGCCTCCTTTTTAGCCCCTAGCAATGCCTGCAAAGAGACGATCCCGAATACCCCATCATTAAGCCGAGTGTAGGAGCAGTTCAAGGCAGCCGCTTATCGATTTACCCAGAGTATGTTCGTTGCTGCTTCTGCTGCTTATCGCCTTACAAATGCTGAAATTACGTGCAATCTACAGATTCTTATGAATGAAATGGAATTTCAGCCATTAAATTAATTGCAATGCATATTTGCTCTTACCTCGCGATCCGAGCACCACAACTTTGCCCTCAATTCCGCGCATCTTCGAGAAAAGCAATCAATCGACTCGCATGGCACGGAGTAAGTGGGGGACGTCTGTCAATGATTTAGTCACAATTGCTTAGTTTTTATTACTAATCAAAACAGGCCACTGGCGTTCCTAAACCTCAACAGGTCACTCAATCACTGGAGTTGTGTAGTGGAGAGCGAGTACAGTTTTTCTGTGTGGGTTTATCGCACTTGGTGGGGATTTTGGAGTCGAAAGTGCTGTGCCACTGGCAAAGATAAAAGTTTAAATAAAGTTTTATTTGTTGTTATTGTGTTAAGCGCAAATCAGCTGTTTAGCAGGGCTGCAAACCCCTTCGATAGTTATACCGATATTTTATTTGCAAGGAGGATTTTAGAGTTGCGGATAGAAGATGTTATTGCATTTTATTCCAGTTAACTTTTTAGTCAAACAATTGATGTATTAAAACGAATTGATAAAAATAAGCTTAATATAATTAAACTGATTTATATGTTAGGTTAACACTATCTTCAGTTTCATTTCAGTCACAAATTAATTAATAACAGTACAAATATCGCCCATCACTAAGGGTTCCGCGACGCGTTAACACCACCGCCAAAATCTTGCTACGAGCAGCAGGGTGACCGTTTCTGGTATTGTTAATACTTTTCGGTATTTTTTTAGGTCAAAATTGAACCGACGGTATATTTACGGTATATCGGTATATATATATGGTATATTTTGTCAATTTCATCAATCTATTAATATTCATTTTAAGCGGTATTCCAATAAAAGCAAGTATTAAGAATACACCAGTTAAATAGAAAATTGATTCATCAATGGGCTAAAATTATGTGGGCACGGCTAAATGTTCTATATAGCTGGGAATATTTGACGGAAGAAAGTTTAACCAAGAATTAGTCGTCATAACCGGTTCACAACAATGAGTCCCATTCATGCACACATACCCTGGGGGTAATGGATGTTATAGAATTGTGAATACGTTTGTCTTCCAAGGCTCAGTAGGTATCAGGATCGACATAAATATACACGAGATACCAATAATTTACTTGAATACGTCTAAAGAATATCAATTTGAGAAAAGGTCTTTATAAATCACGTTTGATCTTCATATAAAATTAGCGAAATAGGGTGTACAAAGGGCTATACACGCATCTCGTCTTCAAATACCAGCAACATTGCGACTCTTTTTTTTGTTGAACTTTTTCGTTTAACCCTTTTTTTTAAATAAATACAATAAAAGCAAGGATTAAAAACTATCCAATCTTGTAGAAAATTGATTCATAATTCGTATAAAATTATGTGGGCATGGCTAAATATTCTATATAGCTGGTAATATTCGACGGAACAAAGAAAACGGGGAATATGATTAATAGAACTTGAATTCGTCAGTATATTTACGGTATATTTTGAAAATGAGACGGTATATTTTGGTATATTCCTGATGGTCTACTAATCCGCGGTCAAGCTGCCAGCAGATGTTCACACTTGAAAATATTATTTTTAACACATAAATTAATTAATAACTAGTGCTTTGAATGCAATTATGAAGATGAACTAAGATCAAGGAAAGACGCACGCACAATTGGATATAGCAGAGGGTGTGATTGCGTGCGACTGGACCGCACTAAATGCGCGCACAACTTCACCATCTACGCGCGTTTTTCGCTTGGGCAGCTTTAGTGAAGTGCGGAGTTTTCTGACACCTGGGGAAAAGTGCCACATTTCCAAAAGGTAAATGCACTTTTAGCCGGATTGATGCAACCACAGATAACCGACAAATCGAGAGTCAGCGGCTTTTGTGCTCTTGTGCGTTCATTTTCATTCGGATTATGCTCCAAAAATTGGAGCGAGCCTGTACATAATGCCGCGTGCCTCTACAGACAGAAATAACCATCAGTACTACAACAAAAAATCTATTTTTAATTAAAGAATGGCAGCCAGCAACTCTTTGAGGCACAAAATTAACAATAGTTATGAATCGGAACCGTCTACAGGAAGCGGGGTATGCAAAAACTTGTCTTTCTCTAGGAGAATAATAATTAAATTAGTGCTGTTTTTTCAGTCTTCGCTCAGTGAAAACAATGAGGGACACATATCTGACGAGGAGCATATGAATCTGCCATATCTAATGAAACCAAAACCACTGAGCAATGAACCCGTCCTCGCCTATCGGACAACAGAAACGGGTACGCCGCCAAATAATATTAAGGGCAGCCAAGAATCGCAATTCCGTGGCTTTGGCGAGAGCCCCTACGGCCAGGTCAATGAGCGTTTGTATGGCTCCCAACTGCCAGCCCTAAAGCTGCCCGAAGTAAAGGCCTCGTCAGCTCAGCGACCATCCCCGGGAAGGATTGTCTTTCCCAGATTCTACGACACCCTAATGGAGGAAAATAGCTGCAACGCTGTCGACATGGCTGTGTCAGTTCCCGAAACAGCAGCTACGATCACAACGAAGGACAGTAGCTGCCTTAGCTTCGATGGCAAAATCAAAAGTCTGACTGAGAGACCTGAGGAGAAGGAGCAGCAGCAGCAGCAACCAGGTCCCTCCACTGCCGATCCTCGACTCTCCACTGTGTTGGAAACCTCAGTAAATACCTCACAACAAAAATACAACAACGAACGCTCGCCGGATCTCTTTGCCGACAGTGACGACGATGCGGAGAACGTCGATCAAGTGCCCTCCAAAGCCCCGGCAAGAACTCTCGAAGACCTGCCCGAAGTCCTGGAGGAGTCGCAATGTGTAAGCGATGTGCGCCCCCGCAGGTCACTCACTGCCCCAACAGAGTCGAGTTTTGCGGACGAGCAGACACAGGAAGCATCGACCTCTCAACTCAACGGCAGCGACCCGCGCTCTCATTTCCTGGAAAACTGCCGACGCGAGCGGGAACTTTATCGAAGGATACGACGATGTCTGCAGGGCGTACGTCCGCCGCCGACTGTCACCACTCCCGATGTGGACGTAATTTCAACGGTTATAGATATGAAGGAACAGGTTCTCAACTTTCTCTCTCAAAAACCCTCCACCTCAGCGGCCATCATTGCGGAGAGCGAAATCAGCAACAGCTCCTCATTGTTCAAGCCCACGCACAGCCTGTCTGATGCGCAGAACATGGGCTGGCGCGAGGTGCTGGGCGTGAGGCAACATGGACTGAGGTGAGTCCATCAAAGGTCTGAATAATGGGAGAATTTATGGAATTCTTTGCTATCCCTGTTTAGTTACAATTTGAACAAGGCTGCCGAACAAAATGAATACCTCAGTATGTCCGTGGTGGATCGCTATGTAGGCGTGGAGACAGCCACGTCGTATGTGCGTTCCCCATCGAGTGCCAAGAAGCGAAACATGCGCATGAAGTGAGTTGCATATTATTTTTTCATTTCATATAATTATTAAATGTGAGAGCCCATTAAACTTTATAGAATGCTGACCCAATCACCTGGCAATCGTCTCAGTCATCTGGCAAAGCGACGGGCCATATTTTCATCTGCAAATCTGGCCACAAATTCCCTCAAGCTGAACAGCTCGATAGGACCGCAAATTTTACTTGACACGAAGTAAGTTCCTTGAGTACCTTGTGGCGCCATGGAAGTGTCTTAATTCTTTGGTTTTGCCTTACAGAAAAGTGCGCAACAAAAGAAAAGCCACACCCAAACGGAAAACGCCCGGCAGCAAGAAGAAAGGTATGTTTGAAGATAAGATAAGCCAAATATTAACCAAAATGTATGTCATTATGATGATTTTTGTGGTTTTTTAGCGCGTAAAACGCCAACTTCGTCGGCGCGCAAACGACTCTGTCGCACCGATCTCATTAAGCCGGGACCCTCGAGGGAAACCTCAAAGCGCGCCCTTTTCCAAAGTCCAGCCAAGACCCTCCAGCAGCAACAATTGAGGCCGCCCAAGCCTCTTTTCAAGCCGGAGATCGCAGATCGCGTGGAAAAATCGAAGCGTGCCCTCTTCTCGCCCGACCACCAGGGCAGCAGCAGCAGCAATCACCTAGAGACGCTGCTCAAGCGGAAGCGCAATGCCTGCGATGATGAAGATGCGGAGCTGGCTAGCCAGAGCAGAAAGCTATTCCGGTCCGACAGCAGCGGCGCAAGTGGACTGACGCCGCGTGCCCTGAAGATCAAGAGTCAGAGCTTTTGTATTGGAGCTGGTTCCTCCACAGCAGCGCATCAGCAGAGGGTGACGTCAACTGTGTCTATGTCTGTCAGCAATGCCCGCCTCGGTCTAGGACTAAGCGGCAGCAGCAGTAGCCTGGCCACCAGCTCGTCCATCGGCACTCCTCTTCTGAGTAAACTGCCACGAGCGCACTCCGATATGAGTGCCACGCCCAACAGCAGCATGACGGATAACCAGCGCAAGGTGGGTTTCATTGAAGGCAGTACTGGCTTCATATCACTCACATTTTTACTTCTTGTATGCAGAAAATGCTCTGGGCCGTGTCGCAAGCTTTGCAGGAGAGAAAGATCACGGCGAAGCACGAGAGTTTCCGCCAGCATGCGTCTGACTTGACACGCATTGTGAAGCGGATCTTCCAAGAGTTCTACCTGGGACACACGACCAGCAACAGCGAGACACTGCTTCGGTATGTTCATGCCAGCTAGACTTCGGCACTCAGAATCAGCTATATTGGCATTCGTTTTCCCTTTCAGGTTGGCCAAGAAGTTTGCCTACAGCGTGGTAGCAGGAAAGAATACCGATGACGTTTACATGCAGGCCCGGAGTCAGGAGAGCGAGGCCAAGCGGCTGTCGAGCACACGACTCTCCGGCTACATTGGACCCGAGGAGTTTGCCCAGCGCAAAATATTGCTGTCGCAAGCCAGCAGTTGTTCCTCGCAGCAGTCGATCTCGCTGCAGGCTTCGCAATCCATTCACAACTTCTTCGGCAGCGAGAACTCGGTTGACGCGTTTGCCATGAGCCAGACGAGTCAAGCCACCGCCTGCACAGACACCCAGTCCAGTCTGATGGATCGTATCTCCGAGGATCTGTTCTGCAAGGAGCAGCAGCAGCAGCCCATCAGGCCCAATCTGACATTGCAGAATAGCTCCTCTAAAAGCAATCTGGGCGGCCTGGCGCTGCGCGAAAACGTGGACGGTGAGCTGCGGCGGTCAGCGCAGAAAAATTTCACGGGCAAGGATCAGCGAAACATCAGTCCTTACTACGGAGGCGGCGGCAGTAATGGCTCGGCACGAAAGTTCCAGGTACCCCCCATCACCAGCCACAGCTCAGGGGTCAAGGCCAAGCGACAGATTTCCTTTGACAGCTAATGTATCATCAGTGCCCCCCGGAAGGCGACATTTGTTTAAAGATAAATGGGTAAATGAAACACTCTACTTGGCCATCCATCCACCCCTCCACGATTTATGGACAATGCAAGCAGAATATTTACAATGATCTGCTTACATTTTTTTTTTTTTGGTTGTTTTAGCTTAATTTATTTAATTGCAAGTGCAGCATAAATGGTAGGAAGACAACCCCTTTGAATTGATTGTACAATTGATCATATACAGATATGGGTCTGGTCTTATAGATCGCATCCCACTATTCTCGCCCGGAACACGTATCGTATCATGATTGCAAATTAGTTGCAATTCGACACAATTGGGATTTATTTTATGCGACCCCCGCGCTCGATCAATGCAATATTTTCCACTGAAGTTTTAGGCTTAAATACATAAAGTAAACCCATCAGCAGTTTGTGCTTAAAATATACAAATTTTAACCAGCTCAGCCTCAGCCAAATGTGTAATTACCTGAAGCGCCGAGTCAATGTTTGTAAGATGTTAAGTGAAATTGGATAAATAAAAGTCGGCTCCGATTCAATAGTAACCACTGCGATGGATGTAGCGCCGCACTAGGCCGAACGATACGATGTGGAAGACCACGGCCACGAGCAGGAGACTGAAGCAGTCTAGCCAGTAGATGTAGTCAGCGGTGCGGTAGGAGGCCTGCTGCAATACCTCTAGGCCGCTCTTCACGCACGGATGGTCCGCGTTGATGGGGCAATCTAAAAGGAAGAGATTCCTAGATACATGTTTGAAGGAAATCCAATCCACCTCACCAATGGTGTCAATGTCAATCCAGAACTTGTACATCAGCGCCTCATTTGAATAGAAGAAGAGCGACAAGTACTTGAGCCCCGGCCACGTGTCCACATTCATATATACGCCACCGAATAGCAGGAAGATCAGATCGAATGGCGCCGCACACTCTGATGCCATTTTGTCCGACTCAAAGAGGCTTGAGAGGAAGACGCCATAGCCTACGGCGGCTACGGCAGAGAGACTCATGAGCAGGCCCATGTACAGGTAGAGCAGAAAGCCACGCGTATAGTAGATGGAGGCATAGATAACCGACAGGAAGACGTAGCCCTTGAAGAAGGCCACCGGCACAAAGGACAGCACCAGTGCCACATAGTAGGCGGACAGGCTGTAGGTGCCCTCTCCCACCTCCCGCCGTATGATCGGCAAGGCGGCGGGAAATATGTAGGTGACGCCGTAACTGAACGTGAAGATCATCTCGGTGCTGAGCATGAATATGGAACCTCCTACATCCTGCACGGTGCGTTGGGTCAAGCCACCAATACCGGAGTACATTAAAGAGAGCGTCACAGAGGTGATCTGAAAGAAGCCCACATGGATTACAAATCCTTGCGGGAGGAGGAGGATTGACCAACGCACCATAAAAAATCCAAAGCCAATGAGGCCGCTTTTGATATTCCGCAGATCTTCAGTCATGAAGCGAACCATTAGCAGATATACCTGGTATATCCAACGTATCTTCTTGCTGGAAGCGATTTATAATTTAAGCAACTGAATTATATCCCCCTTATGATGTCACTCACAAACTCTGCATATGCTTCAGGTAATCCCCGCTGTAGCTGCGGGCCAGCAGCCAACTGCCGCTGTAGAGTCCATCTGTATCGTGCTCATACCTGGCACGCAGTAAGGCGCCGGCATTCTTTGCTCCCTGATTGTCCGCCAGCGTCTTTAGGTAGAAATCAGCAGGATTGCAGTTTATTGGAAGTTCATAGCCCAGACTGTAGCAGAGATAGAAGCGTAAATGGACTATGGAAATTAGCTGCGAAATACGGGGATGCTCACTCTGTGAAGAACTTGGCTGCCTGCTCGGTCCGACCCTGGTAGACAATCCGGCCGCCATCCATCAGAATAATGTGGGTAAAGAGCTCAAAGATGTCCGACGTGGGCTGGTGGATGGAGCAAATAGCCGCCTTCTTGAGCGATCCGTTCGGACTGCTGTTGAGGAGGCCCAGCGTGGGCAGATCCCGCATTCCTTGCAGCAGACTTTCGTGCGATCTGCCAACAATCTCCATTTCGATGGAGTTGCTGCCGCTGCTCTCGCCACTGGCCGTTTCGAAGGAGTCCTCGCCGTACACCTGGCTCAGAGAGTGCTTGGTTATGCGGCGACGGGTGCACAGATGACGCAGCGTCTTGATCACTGAGTAGGCGCTGAAGCTGTCCAGGCCTGTCGTGGGCTCGTCGCAAAACAGAAAGATAGGATCTGTGATCAGCTCTTCGGCCAAACTTAGTCGTTTCCGCTCTCCCCCGGACAACTGTTGGATGCGAGTGTGGGCTGAGTCCCTGAGACCCACAGCCAGCAACAGATCCACCACACGTTGACGCTTTTCCGCCTTGGTGGTGCGGCGATGCATCTTGAAGTGCGACTGATCAAAGGTTTAATAAAAGTGTGTTGGAAAAATGTCTAGAGGGGAGAGTGCAATGACCTACCATGAAGTAGAGATGCTCGTAGGCCGTAAAGGTTTTAAGATTGATCTCGAACTGCGGCAGAAAGCTGGAGATACGCGTCATCTGATTCCGCTTCATGGCCATTCCGTTCAAAACCACATCCCCGGTTAGGTTACCCCGCAATCGTTGCGAAATCGCCGCCAGCAATGTGGTTTTTCCAGCTCCCGAGCCGCCCAATATGGCGATGAGGTCGCCGGTATTCATGTGACCGCTAGCTGCAATGGTGACACACCCCCACACCGCAATCAATCCAATTCCTATTCCCATTCCCACACTCCAACAGTGGAGTAGCCTTACCGTCTTGGAGTATCCTCAGCTCACGCTTCTTGCGGCACTCGTTCCAGAAGCTGTAGTTGCTCTGCTCCTGGGCGGGCACATAGTAATTGAGATGCTTCCACTCCAGGCACAGGGACGGGCCCTGCTGCTGCTGCTGTGGCCCCGACTCGTTCATTCAACAGCAAGAAGAGTTCAATGGACGGATAAGGATGGGTCTCGTTTTGTTTCGACTCTTTGTATCTCTATATTTGGTTTGTCTGTTGTATCCAGCGTTCACTAATCCTACCTCGTCTGACTCGCTCGCTCGAGGATGGAATGGCAGCACGTATCTTATCTTATGTCAGGAACAATGTATTTGCATATCTCTCGGTGGGTACGGTATTTGATCACACCGTCATTCTTTCATTCAGGGGGGAAACCTTAAATCTGTCTGTTAATCACGGCACCAAGAGAGAGCTCACAACTGGGATGGGATAGAGACCACATACAACTGTTCGCGTCGAAGACTGAGCGGCAACTGGGCATCGTCTATGCCGGCGACATCGTTTTCTACCCCCAACATATGGCCCCAAAACCAGCCCAGCCCTGTGCACCCTCCTACCGGCGCAAATTGCGGGTAACATTAAACTTTTGACCGCATTTGGATGGCAAGCTAATTGTCGCTTATCAATTCACATAGTCGAACGGCGGCAGTTCCGCTGTGTCGGCCAACGAGAGACGCTGATGGCTATGACGGTGCCTAGGTGTAGACGCCTCCGCTACCTCTCTGTGGATGACTCTGTGTCGTCTGGCCTGAGTGTAGACCCAGCGAATTAGAGTGGAAATATCTAGGAGCATGTTGTGGAAAAGAACATGGCCCATCTCCACCAGACCCAGCACACTGACACCCACGAAGAAGGCCAATGCACCGCCAAAGGACACTGCAAATGGAGGATAAACCGCTCAGAAACATTTGCTTTGACTGTGCATCGGGACTCTGCACCCACCAATGAGATCCTCAAAGCTGTAGACAACATCACGACGCATGCGCACCTTGGGCGGAATCAGGTCCCATCGGAAGCTGGAGGTAGCCGTCTCACTGCTCGCCACCTCGTCGTTATTCTTCACGCCCCACGAACTCTTTTTCACCGTCTGCATTGTGTACTCGATCTCCGTGCACGTCGACGGGCACTTGCATATGTGCAGGGCCCAGATGGGCCACTTGAAGTCCAGCAGGCACTCGAATCCCGCCGGATTGCAGCCAGGTCCCTCCACAAACTGATAGAAGAAGGGCACACAATTGCACATCTCCAGTGCCATCACAGCCCGACAGCGAGCCAGGCAAAGGGATTTGCTATAAATCTACAAAAAGATAATTATATCTATGGTAAGAACATTTATAAACTAGGGGAAAAAACATAGCACACGCGATATAAGAATAAACGTTTGATTTCGGAATTATGGGAAAATTCGGAAAATCTTATAAAAAAAACAAACAAAAATATATCAATTCCCGTGGAATTTCTTTTCACGATCATTAACCTGCTTTTGACTTGCGAAATTTTTTTCCTGGCTAAACCGAAACGAAGGGCTTGGATCCTATAGTCTACATTTGTGTGGGGATGAACCACAGAGCAGTGTACCTTCAGATTGGATGTCTCCTCGTTGTTAAACACGCATTTGCGCTGTGCCACGCTCAGTTCGTAGAGGTTTTTCGAGGCCCTAAGCAATAAGTCAGCATATAAATCAATCTCTATATGGTGTCTAGATGTTTGATCTACTTACACCGTCTCGAGCACCTTGAACGAGGCCGTTATCTCATCGGATTTGTGCAGCGCCACAATGTTCGCCTCTGTTGCGGATACCTCATACGGCGAGTGCACGTCCAGCTGGGAAGGTGACGCGCGGATTTAGACACAGTCTCAATAGAATCATTGTGTGGATCTTACCACGCCCGTGCTCTCGTATAGGTCCATCCGAATGTAGCACTGCTGCTTGCCGTACTGACAGGAGAGCGGCTGTTCCATCTCCTCATAGACGATGGGTCTGTGAACGCAAATTGAATCCCTAATATGATCAGGTGTCACTCCTTTCGCTTACTTACTTTCCACTTAGCACCGAAGACATCGGCGAGTTGATGGCATAGCAGGAGCCGCGCTCTGTCATCACCATCTGGACATGGACCTTGAAGTTGGCATCGAAGCTGCTAATGACCTGCTCAAAGGGCCGATCCACCCGCTGTATCAGTTCGTACAGATCCACCTGGTCAAAGCGCTCGTCCTCCGCAAACTTGGCCAGCTCCGCGTAGTTGCTGGCAGTGGCATTGACCACCGCATACAGGAAGTCCATAAAGTAGAAGTAGTCCTCATCAATAATGGACACGTTCCACACATCCTGAATGTACTCGTTCGCCTTAAAGGAGTCTATGTGATCGTAGTAGCACAGGGTGACTGCCGGCAACGATCCATTCCAGCCACGGTAGTCTCGATCCACCGAAATGACTGTGGGGGAGTTGAGGTACCGCTCGTACTGCAGGCCGCTGAGCATAATAGCGGCGTAGATACTGCTCAGGACAACTACCAGCCAGATGGACCTCTCCAAGGTGTGGAGCTGTTTGTTAACTATTAAACTGATGGCCAACACGCCCGCTTCGGCTCCTGCTATTTCAGCCATCTCTCTGAGTCGGCTCGAGTAGCTTTTAAAGCCAGCTAAGACTGTAGGTAACACGGCTATCAGTTTCTTCCACATCCAGGCAGGGATCCGCCTCCACCAGAACCACCACTGTTGGCTGTCCATGCTGACCAAATGATAGGACATGCTGTGCGTGCGGGCTGTTATTTAAATGTCAATCCAGTTGGAATAAACTAATTGCGAGCGACCCCCATTAGCGATTTATGACAATGGTCATCCGATAAAGTCTCTTCACAAAAGGGACAAATGGTTCGGTGCAAAAGTGACCAGTGACCGTATTCAGGTCTGTTCAGTGGCGAGCCGAAAGAAAAAAGATTGATTAACAATACTAAAAACCTGGACAACTCGTACTGACTCTTGGTGATGTCAGCGCCCTGATTGACTTGAGCGAACAGTGCATTGCGTTCATCGCCGCCGCTGTCGAGCTTCAGAGCACTCAAGTCCAATGTCCAAGACTCTAATATCTATTTTTCCTCAGCTCTACGAAAAAACGTGGAGATGTAACTCCAGAACACCAGGAAAGTTTTGCGGCCCCAACAAACAACAACTGGTAGACCCGTAACAGCATCAGACCCGGCCACCATTAAGGCCGCTTGAAGAAGTTAAAAGCCATGTAAAGGACGTCGCAGACTCTGCAACTGGGGTTTGGAAAAGTTGACCTGAAGAGGCCAAACTTGTCTACCCGCTGATTGTGAAGATTAGGTCCTGCAGCACCAGGAAAGCAACGAACAGCTCATAGAGGGCGACCTGGTGGATTGACATCGGCATCTGCACGTCGGTGGCACACCAATGTTTATCATCAGTGCAAGAAAATGATAGATACGAATTAACGAACCCATTTTGCTGGTTTGTTTATCAATTAAAATGGTTTTTCAAACACATCGAAAACCGTAATGGCGATAACATCTATACAATTTCTGTTGCAGCGTTGGAAACCAACAATTGTTTTTTTAGTTTACGATATCATCATTTGAATCCTGCAGAAGTTTGATGTCATTCTGCAGCTCCTTCAGCTCCCTTAGCATACTGCGCGACATTTGTCCCTCTGGAGTGGCCACGGGCTCAAACAGCAACATTCGCAAGGCTTCTCGCATCATAATCTCAGTCTGATTTAGTTCCCCCTACAAAAAAATGAATCATATTTGGTAAACATTCCATAACAGTTTGTTCTGCCCCACCAGTAGCTCCCTAGAGCTCTGCTCCTGCTCACTGTAGAGCTTCCTGGCCAATTCCGCCTGCGTGTTGGCCAATTCGTAGAGGGCAATGGCCTTTAGCCGAGAGATTCCCGGAGCAACCACCTTTAGCACTAGCAAAAGCTCTTGGCACACACGAATTTTACGCTCGTAAACCTTTCTGCTGGGACTATGGGCCATATTCTGAAGAATCTGACGAAGCACAGAGGCTATGTTTTGCTTCAGATCCAGCATCAGGTAATGGTTGCCATGGAGCAGCCGGCTCATCTTGACCAGTAGCAATTCCAGCCGGTAGATGTCCCCGCGAGCATGGAAGATCTCCTCCTTGGCCCTCTCCAACATGTTGGACACAAACTCCGGCTTCAGTGTGTGCTCTGGATTGAGGAGACACTGCCAGGTGCCCGTTTCGAGCTGACGCACTATGTATCCACCGGAGCAGGCACACCCACTGCAGATGAAGCTGCTCATATGGGTGCCCAGCTCGGTGGGATCCTGGCAGCGGGCACAACTGCAGTCGAAGCATTTTCCCGTCTTCAGAATATGGCGCCTCTCCTCGTTGCCCAGCAGCACACTGGTGTAGCAGATGTAGAGGATTTCTCCGGCTGCTATTTGACGATTGGCAAACACCTTGATGCGCCTCTCGTCATCGATGGCTGTCTCCAGGTTGGGCATGCAACTGTGCGCGAAGAGAGCCGCTCTTCGGTACAGTCCTCTCATGGCGCCGCCTTGCTCCGGGGCGCGAATCTCGTAAACATTCACATCAAGAATCCCCAAGAGCCTCTGCACCAGGATTTCATCCACTGCATTGCCTGAAGCGCTGTGCAGCTGCTTTACCACACCAGTTGCCTCGAGCGGAGCGTATGCGTGTGCCTGATAGCGTTTCCATATTTCCGTTCCTCGCCTAGCCTCCAAATGGGTCTCCATCTGTGACATTTCCTCGAATAGGGGCCTGCTGTGCTGGTGTTCCCCCAGCAGCAGACATGCAAGAGCCGGCTGCACCTCTGTGTTGGCCTTTTCCTGCAGTATCTGCACTTGCTCGTCTGACAGCTGCAGTTCCCTCAGTCGCTGGCAGTCGCGCTCATCGTGGCCAGCGCAGTCCTCGCACAAGGAAAGGAGTCGGCACTTTCTAAAAAAGAACAAAAATTACATAAGCCATGGTGCAGAATCGGTGGAGGAATCGGGGATCGAGATTCTCGACCTACCCGCAGAAGGTGGCGGTAAGCTTGAAGCACTTGGAACAGCGTCTGTCGCCAATGTGGGGCAGGACCACAATAGACTGCTCCAGAAGCAGAGTTTCTCCAGCGCTGAGATCGCATCGGGCTACCACAAATCTAAAAGGATCGGCATGAGGATCGGCGGCTGATTAGGGAGCAATTAAGGGTTTCCTTCTTATCCCACCTGCCCAGCGTCTCGTTCTGCTTCAGCTCGCATTTCTTGGCAAAATCGTCGGAGACTGCAGCCATGGTCTATTGTCTATCCCGTTCCCTTTGGCTAACTTTGGCATACTGACAGTATGCTCGAGTGCAGTGCTGTTCCGAGTTATTTTTAATTAAAAGGCGTTTCGATTCTTTATTTATTTCTTGGTCACTGATTTCCCTCGAACCAAGCGTTGAACCGTCTCTGGCCCTGCATGTGCACACAGAAACGACAACGAGAAGGGCATTCTTTCCACTTCCCTTTGGTCTAATCTATTCTATTTTGTTTTATTTTTTTATTTTAAATTTACACACAGTCGCTGGTGCGAACTACCGGCCGCCATACTTCATTAAATCTGAATCAATTCGCTCTAGTTCCATGGAGATCCGGTCGGAGAGATATCCCTCGGCTGAGTTCTCCGGCTCAAAGCGCAGCAAATCGAGGGCTTCCTTGGCCACCTGACTGCCAATCCTCAACTGAGCCTGAAACCACGGTAAACACTGGATAAATAGAGGACACACTTTGACAGAGAGCCTAGAGGCCGAGCTACAAACCACATATTCCTTCTTGTCCAGATCGCTCTCGGCAAACTGTAGTTCTATGAGCTCCACAAGCGCCAGCAGATACTCGAAGAGTGCAATGGCGTACAGCTTGGAGATGCCAGGAACCACTGCTCGACACACCGGAAGTAGATCGGAGCACAATTCGACGCGGCGGGCGAGGAGTTTTTTGCAGGGCTGCTCCATGGAGTTCATCAGAGCTGCAGCTCTCAGGATGCTGGCAATATTCTGTTTGATATCCAGCAGCAGAAAGTGATTGGGGTGGAGGAGCTGCTGGTAGCGCACCAACAGAGATTCGTAGACTTGAAGTTCACCCTTTGCGTCGACTAGGGCGTCCCCCGCCTCGGCCAGCACCTCATGGACATCGACAGCTGGCAGGATCGCATTGCAGTCCACGCATCGCCAGTTCCCACTGCCATCCGGACCAATCTCGCAGATGGAGAAGCCTGCAGAGCATTCTCGGCACTTCATGCTGCTCATGTGAGTTCCCATTTCTGTGGCGTCCTGGCAGCGAGAGCAGGAGCAGTCCAGGTGGCGGCTGAGGCGCAGCTGATGCTGTCGCTGACTGGTGCCCATCAGGGGATTCGTGTAGGAGTTGTAGATAACATCGCCGGCATTCAGGGGTACGGCTGCGTACAGCTTCATGTTAAACTGCTCGTCCAGGGCCACAACCGTGTTGGGAACACAGTGGTGGGGCAGGCCAGCTCCACAGACGAAGACCCCTTTCAAGGTCTCGCCATCCCGACCAGTCACTTCGAAGGCGTTGCAATCAATGCGCACGCAGTGGGCATGGAGCACGTCCGCTGTCAACTGCTGCGTGGGCAAGGCCTCAACCAAGCCACTGGCCAGGAGCGGGCCCACTACTTGCTCCTCGTGTTCCTGCCACATGCCCTCGCCATCGCGATAGTCCTCTAGATTCACGGACCGCTCGAAGAGTGTCTGGCAGTCAGCTCGCGTTGCTGGATCCTCGAGCAGCAGGAGTAGCTTCAGCAACGCACATATTCCATAGTTCTTCACAAGCAGATCCTTGCATATTCTGCTCCCTGCACCACTGGCAAAGAACTCGCACTCGAAGTCATTGTGCTGGCTGCAGTCCATGCAGAGCGGAAACACTTGGCACTTGCGACACATCACATACGACTCCTCCATGCACTGGGCGCACTTCAGCTGGGCGCACTCCCAGTGTGGGGCAACCAAGAGCGGCCGCTCCTCCAGCAACGTTTCGCCAGCATCGATGTTCATGTTGGCCACCAGATGCCTAAATGGAATGAAAATCAAATCCTTTTTAAATTTGTACGGACATAAAAAAACCAGCTCAAATGGGTATGCACCTGCCCAGCTTCTCATCGTGCGCCTGCTGAATCTTTTCGCTGAAGTCTTGCATCGATTACGTGTTGTGCTGTTGCTGCCCCTTGTTGTCTGTGGAGTAGAAAACTATTCAGTTCCGTACACAGCGTAGTACGTGGAAAGGTACTCACTGATGCCGCCACTGACCGACTGAGCGCTATAAAAATGGTGGAGCGGCAATTATAAATATACACCCATGCGATGCTCGCGAGGAGCTTCCCTACTCTCACGAGTAGTACTATATATGCCCAGCCCTGTCGCCGGTCGCAGCTTTCGACCATTCCGCTAAGTACTTTGTCTAATTGCGTGCGTAACTTGGTCGATCGATGCTTTATTTTTAGTCTCCGACGCGTCGGTTGGCGATGGTGACGCGATCGCATTTTCGTCCCTCGTTGCCGTTGGGTCTTTCTTTTTGGCCATCCATCTTCAGGAATTCAAAAATCTAAATAACTTTGTTACTTTTTGATTTCGGCATCATGGCTATGGCCCGCAGCAGGACAGCCAGTGGCTGCCACAGTACAGCCCGAAGCAATTCACTTCGACTCCCAAGAGTCGCTACGGCGGAATCACCCACGGTGGATGTACCGACAGCGAACGGACTGGAAAGGAAGAGGGAAGGCAGTGGACGGACCCAAAGGTCACAAGTATGAGCAAGTATGACAAACCTGGGCTGGCTGGCTCATGATGTTGCGGTGGTAGCCGAACGCTAGAGCAGAAGGCCCTGGGATCTAACCCCGAATGTTAGCTCTGGTGTATGAGCTGGCACATCTGTATACTGTATGGTTAGTGATTCAACCAAACGGCTATCAATATTATGGACGCTACTAGGATGTGAATGCAATCCACCGAAATTTACCTTCAACCTTCAAGTATAACCGTCACATTTAAGTAAAACCATCGATAGATCTATCGACTATCGAAAGAGCTAAAATATGTTTTGTCGTGCTAGCAAGCACTAGTACGATAAGTTGACTCTCTAGCTATCGATAGAATGGAATGGCGGTTCATTCAAAAGCATCCTTTAATTTATATATTGTAAAGAAAAACAAAGAGAAATTCATATAATTGCACTAGATTTGGCTTTAGGCAGACTCTTGAGCCTGAAGGTAGTTGAAAACAGTGCCCCGTTCAACAAATCTTTTGTCGTTCTTTAGGTCAGAGTTTCCTACGGTTTTCGTAGAATCACTTATGTGTCCATAACCACCACCGCCAGGAGTCTTCATCGCAAATGTGTCCTGCAAGGTATTGGATAAGAAATGGAGCTGAGAACCAACGAAATTTCCAAGCTCACCCCAGCATCCACATCGATGCACGTCTTTCCAGCCAGGGCAATCACTCTGCCGTCGCGCTTGACTATTAAATTCCTTCCGCTCTTTGCGGGCTCACCGCCCGCCAGTCCATAGGGTTGCAGGGTGCGGCGCTCTGTCAGGACCGACAAGGTAACGGGCTTACGGAAGAGCAAGTCTCGCTCCACGCCCTCTCCGCCATTAAATTGGCCACGCCCGCCGGAGCCATCAGTGCGCAGGCAGAAACGCTTCAATATTATGGGGTATCGTAGTTCCAATATCTCTGGATCGGTGATTCGCGTGTTCGTCATGTGAGTATGGACTCCGCCGGCTCCATGCCAGCCGGGACCAGCACCTGATCCGCCAGCTACGGTCTCATAGTAGCCCCAAGTTTCGTCTCCGATGGTGATGTTGTTCATGCAGCCCTGCGAGGCGCCACAGACGCGGAAGGCTTTCAGCACGGTGTCCACGATACGCTGCGAGGTCTGGACATTTCCACCAACAACGGCCGCCCCTTCCGAGGGATCCAGTATGGAGTTCTTCGGGATAATCACCTGAATTGGTGCCAGACAACCTTGATTCAGGGGCACATCGTGGCCCACCATGCAGCGGAGGCAATAGATCAAAGCAGAGAGCGTGATCGCTCGTGGGGCATTGCAATTTCCCCAGACCTCCACTCCGGACCCGGTGAAGTCACACAGGGCCGATCCCTTCTCCGGATCAATGGTAACCTTCAGAGTTATAGGCGAGCCATCATCCATGAACTCTTTGGCTTGCAGCACCGTGCATCCAGTGCGAGCCAGCGAATCCTGCCCAATCTGACGAAGCATGTCGCGCACTGCTAGCTCTGCATTCTTCTGGATGTGCGACATGTAGGCCTGGACCACATCCAGGCCATAGCTGTCGATTAGCTCCGACACGAGCTGGATGCCCTTGTGATTGGCGGCGATTTGAGCCTTTAGATCAGACAGATTGTCGCTAAGGTTTCGGGTGCCTACTGCTCCCTTGGCTGCTGTGGGCGTGGTCAAGCGCTTGATGATCTCCTTCTCCTGGAAAAGTCCATTCTCCACAATCAGGAAGGACTTGAAAGCGGCACCTTCTTGGGCCAAGGATGTGGAGTGCGGCGGCATGGATCCGGGCGTAATTCCACCAATGTCCGCATGGTGTCCCCGCGAGGCAACGAAGAAAACTGGTCGCGATACACTCCTGTAAAGGAAGGACACGTTCAGTAGGAGATTTCCCAGATGCGATCAAAGACTACTCATACTCGTAGAAAACTGGGGTGATGACCGTCAAGTCGGGCAGATGCGAACCGCCCGCAGAGGGATGGTTTGCCAGAATAACATCGCCATTCTTCAGAGTATCGCCGCGCACCCGCAGCTGGTACTGTACCGTCTCCTGCATGGCGCCCAGGTGAACCGGAATATGGGGTGCATTGCTGACCAGTCCCCCATCCGGCCCGAAGAGGGCACAGGAGAAGTCCAGGCGCTCCTTGATGTTTGTTGAGATGGAAGTGCGCTGCAGCACCCGTCCCATCTGCTCGGCAATGCTCATGAAGCGGTGGCTGAAGATACTCAGGTGGACCGGGTCTAACTCCGCGTTGATTCCGTGTTTGCCACCGGTCTTCACATCCATTATGAGATCTCCGAAGGCCGTCACCTGGACACCGCACTCTGGCTCCACGATGATCGTAGACAGCTGATCGATCAGCACTGCGGGTCCGGCGATCTGGTGGCCTCCCAAGAGGTTTTTGGTCAGGTAAATGGGGGCATCGAAGCTGCCCTGATCGAAGTGGATACGCGAATTACCTTCAGCAAGGGGTGTGGTCTCTGAGCTACGCTTGATCTCGGACTCGGGTGGGGTTTCATTTTTCCCCAGACCCCGAATACGGATGTCATCAACGATGATGCGTCTGTTCTGCAGCACGAAGCCAAACTCCGTGCGATATCGCTTTAGAAATGTGGCATGGAAGTCTCCATAGGTCGTCAAAAGAGGGGACTGAGCCGCCGAATCCTTTCCAGCTGTCGGGGCACACATCAAGGCGCCATCGGTTCCTTCATAGCGCAAGTGGAGGAAGGGCTCCAGTTCGATCTGACGGAATCCCTGTTCCGCCAGCTTGGCGTGGCATTGCTGGGACAAGGCATCCAGGCGATCCTTCAGCTGCTGGCCATTCGCATCGCTGAACTCCAGACCACTGGGTTCCTGCAACTCCTGGACAACGTCGGCCAGGGCCATGCCGTAGGCCGAGAGGATTCCAGCGTATTTGTGGACAACAACCTGGAATTTGCAAAAGGAATCATTAGCCTCAATTTTTATGTTCCATTAAAGGAATCACCTTGGCAATGCCCAGATTGCGAGCAATGGCACAGGCGTGTTGTCCTCCGGCTCCTCCGAAGCAGGAGAGCACATGGTTGGCCGTGTCCAAGCCCCGCGACTGCGTCAAGGCACGAATCGGCCTGCACATGGTCTCGTTGGCCACCCGAATGAAGCCCAGGGCCACCTGCTCAATGCTCAAGTGTCTGTCATCTCCAGTGGCCTTTAAATGGCTGTTGATATCCGCCTGCAGCTGGATAAACTTGCTCTTCGAGATCTCATAGTCCAGCGGCTCGTTCTCCTTCGGCCCAAAGATCTTGGGAAAGTATTTTGGCAGGATGCGTCCCAGTATCAGATTGGCATCCGTAACAGTGAGGGGACCTCCCTTCTTATAGCAGGCGGGCCCAGGATGCGACCCCGCCGACTCTGGACCCACAACAAAGATTCCGGAGCGGAAGAACAGCCGCGATCCTCCTCCCGCTGCCACAGTGTTGATGTCCAGCTGTGGAGCTTGAATCGTTACACCCGCCGTGGTGCTCTCGATCACGTGCTCGTAGCTGCCGGCATACCTGGACACATCCGTTGAGGTTCCTCCCATGTCAAAACCGATCAGTGGCAGCTTCGTTTCCCGCGACCCTGTCAGGGCATAGCCCACCACACCGCCAGCGGGGCCAGAGAGGATGGCGCGGGCTCCTCGGAAGTTCTCCATGTTGGTCAGGCCGCCATCCGACTGCATGAAGAGCACATCCACGCCGGCCAGCTGGTTGTCGAAGCCAGATTTGAAGCTGTGGAAGTAGGTTAATCGTCAATGAATGAAGAATAAATGGGAATTAACTTGAAAGAGGTTAGACCTCTAAAAGGCGTGCGCTTTATTCTAGCCACCACTGTTACACTCGTCGCTAGAAGTGTGCCCGTTCATTCGATACCCTTAAATTTATTGGGCGCAAGGGTATATTCTGTGGGTGACTGGCAAAAGAAGACTACATTTGGGAAATGTGATAAGGACTTCAGAATGATCATCTATATTGTGGGTATTGGGTATGGTAAGGTAGAGCCAACAAATATGTTCTGTGCAGCAATGAAACCGATCATGATTGTTAGTTCATCTTTTGCCATTACAGTAGAGGGTATTTTCTAGTCGATTTAGAGATCATATGCTTTTGTGTGTTTACATTTCAAAATTTGTTTGCTTGTTTTGTTTTTAGACTGGGTGTTGGGTTATCTTTATAGAGGTGCCCTCGGCCTCAACTGGTTTGTTTGACTCCAAGAAAAAGCCGTCTCATCGACTTAATTTACAAACAGAGATTAGAAGCACTCACCTCGCCAGGTAGCGGTCCACATGCGGCGTCAAATAGGCCTCCGCACAGGCCGTGTAGCCTCTAGCCACCACCCGACACATGGGCATGGCCTGATGAGAGAGTGTCACATGGCTAAAGCCCAGCTGGCGGGCGATCGCTCCGATCTGAAGCTCGTGCACCGGACAGGCGTAGCTGTGGGCCAGCACAACGGCCACAGACGACACGCCTTTATCGCGGGCAGCTGTGAGGGAGGCACGTACCGCCTCCACGTCCACGGGTTGCACCTCCAAGTACTTTGTACTGGCCACACCCTCGAGCACCTTCCAGCTGTGATCTAGAAGAGACTGCATTATAGAGTGCGATTGGATTCCGAGTGGAGACACTTACTCAGTTCACAGCGATCCGCTTGCTCGGGAACAATGCGACAATCAACCTCGACCACGGACTGGTAGAGATTCGCCGGCTTGCGAATGTTCAGGTCGAAGATTTTCGGCCTTGCCTGGTTGCCAATGTAGAGCAGATCCCTGAAGCCACTGTTGACCACCAGCACCACGGGATCTCCCTTCCGCTCTAGCAGGGCATTCGTGGCAACCGTGGTGCCCATCCGCACCCACCCGATCTTGGAGGTGTCGACCAGGCCAGAGGCAGCCAGCTCCTGTCCCGTCTCCTCCTTCAGTATGCGACGAATGCCCTCCCTGGGAGCGTCGCTATACCGCTCTGGGTCCTCCGACAGCAACTTCATGGTGCGCACCTTGCCACCCGGACAAATGCATAGTACGTCGGTGAAGGTGCCGCCACGATCAATGGCGAAACAATACTTATTTCCACTTGTTGGAGCAGACATTTGCACTGATAACAAATGCGGTCGTTTGGCGTGTGCTTGTAGAGATTCCGTCTGTTCAAATGGAAGAAATGGAGCACTTTGGTTTTGGTGTCCAACTAAGTCTCTTGCCAACGGTTTCGATTGTGCTCGGATTGCGGTATGGTATGGGGCTCTTGGCGCTAATTATATATCACGAAATCACACACGAACGAAATACGCAAGCAACCAAACAGCGACGAACAACAGGTGCTTTTCAAAAGCACACGGGTCCAACACGACCGCGGCGGGATTTAAAAAACAGCAGATAAACGGTACCGATAAGAAATCAAACTTAGCCCACTTAGCCCCCCTTTAAAAAAGTCTAACGACTTGAGGTAAATGGCGGAAAATATTACTGATTGTACATTTTTCTTGTAGACCTGTGTCAATCTTCTTCTTAATTTAAAAAAAACCACGATATCTGCGCTAAAATTATTCAATTTGCATTATTTTCGGTGGAATATTAAAATAGCTTGGCCTACAATGGGTTAATCGTTCTCCATCACGAATTCGAAACCATATTCCTAGATTTTGATATTCTGTGGAATATTGCCATCTAGCTAAGACTTCCATACCTGAACACAAAGTTTTATCACATTGATAGATCAATTTTCTACAAGATATGCTAATTTTAACTAATCGCTTTTATTGAATTTTTTCTAAGTAAAAAGGTTTTAGCGAAAAATTAAAAAAAAACACATGAGAGAGTAATCATTCCTATTGCTTAATTTTGATATTCCGTTTAATAATTCTGGCTAACTAAGACTCTTAGCTCTGCCCATATAGTTTTATCCCATTGATGAATAAACTTTCTACACGATAAACTACTTTTAAGTATTCCTATTCTTTTGTATTTTGTCTAAAACAAGGTTAAAAAAAAATGTCAAGAAAAAAAATATTCCTGGTATTTGAAGACTTGTTGCTTATCAACCGGAGCATGTACATTTGTATACCCTATTTCCTTCAATAATGTTAAAATTCGGTTCTAATTGTAATTAATAATTATGTATATTTTCTCAGATGGATATGTTTTTGAAATATTCATGCATATGCTTCTATTCGTATATATGTATGTATGTGTGTATGTATGTACATACATATTTATATCTCGATCGCGATACCTATTTTTGGTCTACATACATACATATGTATGTAAGAAGACCAATTGCACAATATCGTTGAAATAGCTTTAAATTAAAGACTGACTAGTTTCTGCATTAATTAGAGCCTGGGATACGAACATTTTCCTCAATATTTGATCTAGATGTAGTTCTTCATCCTGTTTTTGAATCTCTTTTATACCACAAATAAGTTGGATTACAGCAAGACTGAAAAATTTCCATTGAAGAAACCAATTTGCACTTGTCGTAAAGATACGCACAGACCAGACCTACCTACCCCACTTTCTTGACGACTCCGCAACACATAAATATTTATATGCAAATGCATGTTTTATCTGTGTTTTACTTCGTAGCAATGAAATTTGATGACTTATTAAACGAGGCCATAAAGTGCGCATTCCCCTGCTTTCGCGACTCGATGGCATCGGAGCCAGTGGGCCAATTGTTTGCCCAAAGTCGCAAAAGGCCCATATCAATAGAGGCTCCCAGAGGTGCATTTCAGATTGTTTTTCGTCGCGTTATGACCCCTAATGTCCCGGGGCTGTCCGGGTGACAGTCGATTTTATGTGCGAACGGATTTTTACGGCCGTTCCTGTTCTACACGCTTGAAACACAATCGGCTTCGAATTGCCTAGCATTTCCCGTAAATATGGAACGCCTGAAAAGGATGAACTGGAAATGGAAGTGGAATCGAGAGGGCGAAGGAAATGGACAATACAAGAAGGAAGAAACGAAAACCCAAAACGAGCTGTGGCTGGAGTACTTTTCTGGGCATCTGCATGTCTGGCCCTTCGAGGAGCTCTGCTCTAGGCTAGAAACGAATCCTTCTCTGGTGAGCTCTAAATCAGTATCGGGGTATCAGGGAGAGAGAAGCTTAAACTCATCCGTAATCCTTGGCAGGGCCTGAGCGAAGAAGTGGCGGAACAGCGCCTGGCCCGGAACGGAAAGAACACATTTTGCTTGCCTGCCCAGCTAAATTCGCCTTTGTGGAAACTCTTGGACAACTGTTTCTGGTGCTTGGCGATCATCATCCTGCTGATTGCGTCGATCTGCTTCGTCTTGCACCACGGCGAGGTCGAGCGTCACCCAACCACGATTGTCGACCCGGAGTACCTGATAGCGGGCATATTTATACTCCTAATTTTGCTTCTCTCGGCAGGGATGATTCTTCTGCAGCGGAACGACGATTCTGCGGTGGTCGAGGCTTTCGAGGATCTGATGCCCATGTACTGCACGGTAATTCGGGACGGGGAGAAGCAGGTAATCCTATCCGAGAACGTGGTTCAGGGCGACGTCCTGCCGATCGCCTACGGACAGCGACTGCCAGCTGATTTGCGCTTTTTTAGCTCCATTGGCCTGGAGGTCAACAATGTGGCCCTCACGGGGCTCTCCCGTCCCGTGGAGATCAATCATCTGGTGAGGGAAGGGCTGCCCAGGCGCCCTGACGTAGTAGTCCCAGTCGCTTGACAGCTCTCTGTATCCAACATTATTGAATTTATAAAATAAAATAAGTGAGAAATGACCGGCAAGCTTTTGTCCAAGTGGGACTCCAGAAACGTGGGTTTTGGCTGCAGCCACGCAACGCAGGGCTATGGTCTGGGACTGGCCATTGCCTGCGGTGATGCCTCAGAGGTCGGGGTCATGGCACGCCTCAGCATGGAGAGACGTCCGCCCAGCCGAGTGGGAAAGCATCTTCAGCAGGTGGGTTTTTGGGTATATGAAAGGCTTTCCGATAAGTTCCTTCCCACTTATCTACTAATAGGTAACCTACTACGCGATCGTGTTAGGTATTTTTCTGTTCTTCGTGGTGCTGTTCACCTTATCGGCGGACAAACAGTCCATGATCACCACGTCCCAAGTGAACACGTGCCTGGCGATTGCCCTGATCCCGCTCTTCTTGCCCAGCCTCCTGTACCTGGGTCTGGTGCGGACGCAGAGGATTCTAAAGGAGAAGGAATACTACGTGCGGAACCTGGAGGCAGTCAGCACTTTAGGGCTGTCCACAGTGATCTGCGCGGACATGAGGGGCACAATGACCATGCAGCAGATGCGTGTGTCGGAGATATTCGTGGATGCGGATCTGCTGCGGGTGCAGAACCTGAACCTAGAGGAGGTGGGGCCGCGATTCATAGAGCTCATCCGATCCTCGCTACTGTGCAACGATGCAGTGTTCTGTCCGGGCTCGGTAGGAGTGCCCGTGGAAAAGAAGAGCATCTACGGGAGCAGCTATGACAGTGCTCTGCTCAAGTTCGGTCTCACCTTCATTCCCAACGTGGACCAGCTGCGTTGCGACCACGAGAAGGTGGCCAACTTGAGCTACAACAGCATCGACCACGTCCACGTGACAGTGCACAAGATCCGGCTCGAGAACGGCGGGTCGCGCCACATCCTCCTGATGAAGGGATACGCTGACGTGGTACTCAGCCACTGCTCGACCTACGCGGTGAGTGACGAGGAGCTGCTGCTGGACGAGCCGCTCAAGCAAACCATTGGAAATCTGTCCACCAGGCTGATGGAGGCGGGACGGCATGTTCGCGCCTTCGCCTACAAGGAGATCCTCTCTGACGTGGAGCGCCGCCGCTTTTCCCAAGTAAACTTGGGCCGTGACAGCACTCCAGGCAGGTACAGGGATTTCCTGTCCGTGAACATATTTTCACTGAGGTTCCTTGGCTTGATCGCCACCCACAATCCGCCCCACGCGAACATCGCACAAAGCGTGTTCAAGTGTCGCTCCGCTGGCGTCAAGCTGGTGATCATTACCCGTGCCAAGGCCACCTTCGCCCGTGCCCTGGCCATGAGCGTGGGCATAATTGCACCACCTACAAGTGACGGCGTCGACATCCCTGACTCGTCGATGAAGCGCCACCAGGTCAGTGCTGCTGTCGTCAGCATGGATGAGTACGTGGAGCACAAGATGCACCACCAGCGATGGAAGGTGGAGCAGCTCCTGCTCGCCCACCCCCAGTTGGTGTTCGCAATGGTTAACGTGGAGCAGAACCACATGATAGTTGAGACCTGCCAGCGGCTGGGTGCCGTGGTCACCATCATGGGATACTCCGTGCACGACACGCCCGCCCTGCGTCGCGCCCATGTGGGGGTGGCCAAGTCTGGCTGCTCGACCACGAGCCACTTCGGCGCCGACATCCTCCTGACGGACAGCCCCTTCTCTAAGCTAGTGGCTGCCATCGAGGTGAGTCGCCTGCTGTTCGAAAACACGAAGAAGGCACTGGCTTACTGTCTGGCCACAAACACGGCCCTGATCCTGGTGCACGTGTCCTTCTTCCTGGTCAAGATCCCACTCCGCATATTCGTCATGCAAGTGTTTATCATATCTATATTCGTGAACTTGGTGAGAATTCCCTGAGAGGAAGGGCTATCTGATTGAACAGACTCCTTTACACAGCTGCCTGGCCTGACCCTGCTCTTCGAGAGGGCCGAGGAGAAGCTGATGAAGCAGAAGCCAAAGATCTTCGACGACTTCCTGTTCAACAGACGGTAAGTACTGGTTCTCAGTACTTCTCTGTTCTCTGTTATTGCACACGAATATCCCGCGCTTAGCTTGCTCTTTGTGTCCTGCATCCTGGTGGGTATCATCGAGGCTGCGGCTGTCTTTCTCATGTACTTCCTGTTTATGGCCCGCAACGGCTTCCTGCCCAGAACTTTGGTCGGCCTCAATTTTAAGTGGTATGACGAAACGGTCACAGACATAACTGATTCGTATGGCCAGGAATGGGTAAAGCTTACGCCAAGTACAAGAAAATCATATTATATTTAACAATCTTCGATATTTCCTGCAGAGTCCGAAGTCTCGCCAGCGCTTGGACTGTCAAGTATCCGCCATTTGCCTGATGACCCTCGCTGCGATGCAGTGCACCAATCTAATGTTGACCAGGACCGGACGTGCCAATCTGCTAAGTCATGGATTTTCCAACGTTTGCCTGAACCTGGCCATCGTTTATTTGATTTGCCTTTGCGTGCTCGTTCCCCACGTGGATTTTCCCCACTGCCTCCGTCTGGTTGGGGGCACAGAGTGCGTTCGTCTTCCTCCTGCCTCCGGCTGCTCTCATTGGTTCTCTTTGCAGATTGGTCTTCTTCTGGTGGTACATATGGCCTCTGGTCTCGTTGCTAGCGTTCCTCGAAACCGCCCGGCGATACCTCCTCAGGCGATTCCCTGGAAGCTGGCTGGAGCTGGAGACTTTTTACTAAACGTAGCAGCATCTAGGATAAATGCAAATGCGAACAAAATATGAAGTATGCGCTTAATGTTTCATCCTTCCCGTCTTCCCTCTACTGTTGTCTGTGTTGAAAAAAAGGAAACAACTGGAAATGTGTAGTCAAATGATCGCAGCTTCAGAGTCGGATTGATTTAGAATAAATGATATTCTTTAACAGTTCAGTTCTTCAAGTAAAACTCCTTGGATTTGTATTTTTAAAATATTGCAATTTATTTGTGAATAGCTCGAAGCTGTGTGGTGGTGGTGGTGTCGTGGAATTGGCTGCACTTTCTCACATTGAGTTCGCCTGTGTGCCATTTAAGACTTTGTTTAGTTATTTAATTTAAGTTGCATAATAGACATCTACACGTAATGGCATGTGGATAGGATATGAGTAGGACCTTACACGGATTTGCTTTCATTCAACATCAATAATTTACTCTATTTTTACGTTTATTTTACGCTTGTAAATATTCGTTTCGTTTCGTTTCGTTACGTTTCCTTTTGATTAAACTTTTTTGAACATTTATCGATTAATGCTTGCTTGTATGGTATGTATATCGGTTATCGCTATGTATAGTATGTACTATGTATGTGCTTATCCTTGCTTCTCATCCAAGTGTAAATCTTTAGCTGGTGGAGTTCCGGGAAAGGGACATACATATACGTACGTAATTCTTAAAGTGCAACATATTGTAGAAACGAGTCCGATCAAATTCCCTTAGTGTGGAACATAAGTTCATTATTTAGATATAAAATACAGTGTGGGAATGGATGGGAAAAATCTAGCTAGGCTCAGACAAAAGCCCTATCCTGTCGGTTTCCTATCTTTCCTATCTGTATGTATACTCGTAACCTGAACAAAATATAACTCTGTAGGTAATCGCTGCTTTCGATGTGCCGAAACTTTCCGTTCTCGAACTGAAACCGAACTATCTATCATATCTAGCACAAGCTCTGGGCTGAGTGGGGGCTAGGACTATTCAATCAATCAATCAATCAATCAGGCAAAGTAAGCTGAAGGCGGTGGGATCTCTCTGATCGGGGTCTGTCTACTTTATATAATACCATTTACGAGTATCTTTGACTTTGTCTTTGCTTTGTTAAACATTTTGCTGTTAAAACTCTTTAAAATTATTATCTCATTAATTTAGTAGTTTTGTTCGGTTTAATCTTAGTTTATGTAGATTTAAGTACACACGCACACACATACTATATAGTTGTATATATCTGTATATGTATATGTATGTGTTTGCTTGTATTGTATATAAGTATTGTTGTATGGTACTTGTGTGTTCGGTACTCGAATTCGCATTCGTATTCGCATTCGCATTCGTAATTGTGTGTATATTTAGTTAAAGTAATTTGTTTAAAGTAATTGCGTTTACATTATATTTCTATTGAAGTTGCTCTCTTTAATTCTCTTTAATTTGACACTAATTTTAGGTTTCAATTTGTTTTTAAACTTTATTCCATTAAATTTAACATTTCTTTTGAATTTTTGTTTTTGGTTTTTTTCCTTTCATTTTCTTCTGTGGAAATAAAACATCGCATTGAAAATATTCGCTCCGTTTATTATCAGTAAAAAATAAAATCGTGTGGCACGGGCACGAGTGTGCACTGTAGACGCGACACAGCTCGTTCTCGTATAAGTTCACAGTTAGTCCCTAAAGATCGGTATAGTCGTACGTCTGTACGAGTACGGGTATGCATTCGTGTACGGGTATACATTCGATGCGGTGTGTGCATCAACTACGCAAAGATTAATGGGTTCCATCCTCAAGGTCTCTTTAAAAGAAGGAGGCGGGGCACATCGAAGGCGGTCGGGATGGACTGGGACCGTGGTCAGTGGGCAGCCGCAGCTGGAGGAGGTCACTGGGTTAGACGCCTTGGGCGAGACTCTCCTTGGACAGCGCCAGGAGGGGCTGGTGCTGGTGCTGGTCGACGGCCTGGTGGTGCGGAATGATGAAGGGCGAGGCCAGCATCTGCAAGGGCCTGCAAGGGAGTCATTCGATGTGGAACTCTGCGATGGGGGCGTGGCTGGAAGGGGAAGGGTGCACTCACTCTGCATAGCTGGATGCTGTCACCACAGGCTGTCGAACCGAGTGCAATGCCTGCGAATTCTTGGCTCTGGCCAGCAGACTCATCACCGTTCGTTTGGTGGGATTCATGCCAGTACGGGGAACGCCCAACAACGGACGCTTGCGTCCCAGGCCGCCACCTGCCAAGAGCCGAATCGGGATTAGCCTTTGGGGAAACGGGGGGCGAACGGAAGCTGCAAATGGAGCTGGTCACTCACCTATGTTGATGGTCTTGACGTTGCGCAGTGCGGGATGGAGGAGAGCTGAGCCAGGCGGCTCCAGCAGCGTCAGTGTGGATGTGGCTGCCTCTCCGTCTGCGCAGTTGGGCAGCTGCAGGGCCGCGGCACTCGCCTGCGTGGTAGGCAGCCCGGCCATTGTTGCACCAACCCCGGCCGCCGGCTTCAGAAGTCCTCCGATTCCAGCTGCTGTTAGCTGGTGCTGCAGCGCCACTGCCATGGCTGTGGTGTGCACTGTGGGTGCAGATAGGGGGGGGAATGTGGGCGTGAGTGACAGCTTGAAGATTACTGAGAGGATGGGAAAGAAATTGTCCTGGGATGGGGACCAAGACCAAGGGAAGCTCCCCAATCGGAAACAATAATTCCCTATTATTCATCCCAATACCAAGACCAATTCTTCCTCCAATCCGGACTTACGTGCCGCTGCCGCTGCCGGAGTGGCCTGTCCGGACAGATGCTCCCCGCAGGCTGCCGCTGCCGCTGCACTGGCTCCGCCGTGGGCCTGCTGCAGAAGCTGGTGGAAGTGTGACGGCTGGGCGTGGGCGTGGGCGTGGGGATGGCCGTGATGATGGTGATGATGGTGGTGCTGGTGTGGATGGGCATGGGCATGGCTGTGGGCATGCTCGGTGGTGGTGGTGATGCTGATGCTGCCGCAGGCAGGGGAGCAGTCTAGCTTGTCCGGTGAGAGGCAGTCCATGCCACTGATGTCATTGTCCGATTTGTCATCGTTCGATGTGTCCATGTCCGCCAGGCCACCGGCAAGACCACGGCAGGTGTTGACGACACTCGGATTGGGATTCGTGCCCGTACCCGTGCCCGTGCCCGTGCTGGTGCTGGTGGTGGGGCTCTGGGAGTCATCCAGGTGCGTGGCCAGACCCGGCGTGGACGTGAGCGCCTGCATCTCCCACATCTGCTCCTGGCGGATATCATCGTGGTAGTCCTGCGGGACACAGAAGTATATCAAATGGGAGTGGCACTGGGATTAGCCATGGAGCACACCTCTGCGGAGCAATTAAATTTAATTCTCGCTTTTCTCATTCTCTCTCTCAATCTCTTTGAGATTCTTCCACTGTCTCTCGTAATAAATGCGAATTTTATTGGATGTCAATTAAAAGTTTTCCGAGAGCGTCCCAGGCACAGGCGACCCACGCCTCCAGGCAATGCCTCTCCTGCCCGCAGGATGCGTGCGCGTCGAGGCAGACGCACATATCTGGGAGTGCTTAATGCAATTAAATGGGCGGGCCTGGCACTGCAGGCCACCTCTGGGATACACACCCGCCGGTTGGCAGTCGAGTCGAGGCGAGTCGAGTGGATGGATACACATTCCATTAACCAGTTGACTTGCTTATGAGTATCTCTAGATTTAGCACTGAATCGGATGCAACATACTCTCTCCACTCTACTCCACCCTCTCTCCCCCCCCCCCGCCCCTTTTTCAATCCCCAAAGAAGTGACACGTATGGCAACATTTTATGGGACTCTCCCTCCCTCCCTCTGCGGCACACATAAATCGCGATTGCAGACGCCATAAACAATTTCCAGCCAGGTGAGCGAGGCTTAAATATGTCGCAGATGAGATTTGGTTAGACACTCCACAATCCTGTCCTACCTCTGACACACACACACTCACACACACACGCAGCTCGGTGAAAACCCAGCAATTTATCTAAATTGAAACAGTTTCTCTTCGGCTTTGTTTCTCCCTCTTTTTGGAGATATCAAATAATTTCTATGCAAATTTTCGTCGTGTGTAATCAGATCGGAATAACTCAGGGGGGAGATGCGAGAGACCAGCAGCAGGAGACAGTTTTTTATGGTGCCGACAGCTGCCAGTCAAAGGTTGGCCAGGATGTCAATATATTAGATTACCCTCAACCACAGCCCCCCTCCCCCAAGCCCCTTACAGATGGTGGCAAGATGGTTAAGCCCTGGCTCAAAGCAATGCCGCAGCTTAGGCATGTGCGAGGTGAGAATTGAATTTTGAGGGAGAATACAGATCAAAGCTGGAGATTAGAGAGCACACACACAATTATAAACAACGGCAGCTTACTTTCAGGGTACAGTACCCTGTGAAGACCTCATCTATCCCATTCGACAGTTGTCTTTAGGATACTTCATATTTGTTATCCTGTCAGGTGTTATTTAATCTAATAACCCCTCATCTTTCCCCAAGCAAGAAGCGATTTTCACACATTATGAGCATTACAAGTGAATGTTATGTATCAAAGCACCCAGACATAAATATTTTGTGTATTTCATATGAAATTACTACACAGACCTAATTCGAACAGAGTTGGTTTGGCAATCTTTGACATCCCCGATTGAGTTAGCAGTAGAAATTGATTGGACAGTGCTATCACTGGCAGCATAACTGGTTTATGTCAAGACGGTGAATCCACAGACTCATTGCGAAACCAACTCAATCGGTTGGAATTCGGTCGGATTTAGATTCAATAAATTTCCAACAAATTAAATATATATGTATATATTTACTTGAAAGAGTTTTTTGTATTTAGATTAGTTCTATCTAACTTCTAACGTGGTGACGATCCTATTTTTTCTCTGAGTGCAAAGATTTGATGCCGGTTTGTAAGACTATTCGATTACTACTCATTCCCACTATAAAGTAAGCCAGATAAGAGAAGAGTTTAATTATAATTCGATTAAAGATTAAAGATAACTCGTACAACCAGTTGTACGCTGCTCATTTGAAATTCTCTGATAAATTGCAAGCTCCTTGTATAGATGTCCTGGAACCCATTTTAAATTGCTTCATGTCCACCTACCACTTGCATCTTGCATCTTAAAGAAGATATAAATATAGTATGCGCTCGCCAGGCGAGTGAGGATAATGCCCAGAACGTGGCCTGCTGGATATAGATAGAAACGGTTAACATTTGTGTCTCAAGTGGATCTGGTGCCAGAGAGAAGGAGAGAGAGCGTGAGAGAGAACCCTCCCCCACACACACACACACACACACTAAGGGAGTGCGCGATGGCGATGGCGTGTCGAGAGCCACACAATGGACGGAGGAAGATGCCAGGCAAGTTTGTGCAGCGCGTGCCGTGAGGCAGGCGAATGGTAGTGGTCCAGGCAGCCGCCAAGCACTTGCAGGGGCTGAGGGGGTGGGGCTGGTGTGGGAAATGTAATTACAGCACAATGCAATTTAGTCAGTGAGAGGAGGAGAGATAGCGACAGATAGACAAGGACAGAGAGAGAAACGGCGAATTCTCGCTGTATGGCAGGAGGACACGACAACACGGAAGCTGTAGTCGATAACTAGAGCAACCTTGGAGCAATCGTGCTCCTCCGTGCATCCTGCTACTGCCTCGGAAAGCGCCTTTGCCATAACATTAAGTTCCGTGCTCGACAAAACTTTAAGATGTTCATTTGCCTGCCCCGGCTACTGGGGAAACTTTAATCATTAATGGGTATTACAGACAAACAAAGGGAACCAAAGGAAAGCAAAGCCCCTGAGTCCCTCCGAAATAAAAGGGTCAGGGTCCACTACTCACCGGAACCAGAAACCGACGCACTTCCGCCAGGGCATAGGCGATGCGGGCATGGGCCTCGGCTGGGGCGGCGAACGTCGATATCTCCACGTGCAGGTCCTCGAAGAGATGGGCATACCGATTGTCGCCGCTGGCGCGCAGGTCCTCCTCCTTCCGCCGGTCGCGCATCGACCCGCGGCCCAGCACGGCCATCTTGCACATGGTGTCCTCCTGGAGGCGCTTCATCGAATTGCCCTTGGGTCCCAGCAGTTTGCCAACGAAATTAAACTAGAAAATAAGCGAAATGTTCCTGGCGTCAGTAATCAGACGCCTTCTCCTTCCTTCTCCCATCTATTGGCTCTCACTCACCTTGGGGTGATCCCTCACGGGCACGGCCACTTTGACGGCCACCTTCACGGGCTTATCGCGGGTGATGTCCAGCATTTTGAGTTTCTCTGTGCGACGGAGTAGGATACAAGGAAATGCAATTAACTCGCATGGCGGAAAACTAAGGTAAAACTATCACAATGTTCCCTCCCTAAACATTCCTCCCTCATAAGTATGCTGGGGACATAAAAAGTTCATCGGATAATCCCTTCCACTGCTTGACAGGGGCCGCCTGCCTGCCCACACCAGAGACATCGCTGAGACATTTGCAAACATTTGTCGAAGCCGTTAAGACAGCGTTAACCCGACCAGAGATGGATACTTTCCAAAGGGGAAGGGAATGGGCCACCATATCGTACCAGGCTTCTGGTCATTGTACGTTTGTCTCTCCGTTTCAGCTGTTTGTAACTAATTAAGCAAAATGCTTCTTCACACCCACAAAACAGGGGGCGTGGAATGGCATGGGGGGGCGGGGTAAATCTGTTGACAAGCCCAAACATGAAAACATTTTTGTTTGCTCTTCAGCTCAGGCGCAAGTCTTGGCAGGCGGCAAGGACTCACGGGTACACAGACACGCCCACAGACACAGGGTTAGAGCAAGAGTGATAGAGAGGCAAAAAAACACACACACACACGTAGAGACAGAGACATCGTCGGCACTCATTAGCAGGCGAAATGGCTTTCTTAACACCTTTTGTCGTTGCCTTGTGCATGAAATGCAACATTTGCATGTCTCCTGCCCCATTCATGCCCCATCTATGCCCCAGCCCCCTCTTGTCGACCCTGTGAGAGATTTTGTATCCCCTTATAGACCCCACCTCTGTTGTCGCAGGACTGCTGACTGCCTTGTCAGTGGCAGGAACATGCATAAGTAGCTGGCAGTTGTCAGCAGAGTGCACTTTGATGGGGCACCAACCAGCCAGGGCCAGGCAAGGCAGGACGTGCGACTATTTTTGGTGCAGTGGCAGGGGGGCAAATGGTGCAAGTGCATATCTGTGTTGATGGCTCAAGACTGAAGCAGCAGCAGCAACAGGAGAAGAGGTAGCGAGCAGTATCACAATATTTACGGGAACCACATAAATACGAAGGCCCCCCCCATGGGATCCCTGCTTCCGTTCTTTCCGCTTGATTAATTACATTCCGCCGAGTTATCCTTCATAAAAGGTTTCCCGTGTTCGGCTCCTGTTGCCTGTTCGGTCGGGAATTAGATTAATTTCCATTTCATTTAGCAATTTAATGTACATCTGGAAAAGTCGAGAAAACGTCCTCTATGCTACTCGGCATCCGCAATTAAAAGCATTTCACCATCAATTTAAGCCAGTTCGAATAACTTTACACTTCATTTCGAATTTTATATAGGCTTATGTATTGTTTGCTTTAATCAAACAACATCGGCTGGGACCGACGCTGGCCGGAGCGGGGCCGGGGGCGGTGGAGGGGGAGTGATAATTGCATAATGACTGCAGCTGGCCAGCCGCAAAAGCGTTTTAAATGGTTCTCTCTTAGCCATCGAGTATGGAAATGTATTGATTTACCTGTCCTGTGGTGTCCTTACCCGTCGATTCACGTCCTGCCAGGAGAAACGGCCAAACCAATAACAGTAATAATAATTACATTTCGCTTACGGCCATGGCCATAATTATTTCATCCGCCCGCATCGAGGAAAACTTCCGATGCCCTTACAGTTTCTCCATTTCCCAATTTCCCAATATCCCAATTTCCATTTTCCACTTTTGGTTCGACATTACAGGGATCGCATGGGATCCCATGGCACGAACACGATTTTGGCTGCTGGCACAGCCTAATCTCCACTAATTTATGGCCCGGACGGCCATTAACGTAATTAGGTATGCATTTCAGGTCCACCTGGGGCCCCTCCCCCCTCCCCCCTCCAACCACCATTCCTGCACTTATCAGATTGCAGCGAGGGATGCCGGTGGATGAAGGTGCCTTCGCGCCTGGCAACGAGTCAGACACCGAGGGGAGTGCCCGCACTCAGTTAGGCACCTGATGGTGTAAATCAGATTTAAATATCAACTTGCCACAGCCACAACAGACCTTAGGAACTGCTACTAGTACTTCCTGCCAATCCACCACCCCCTGGGGCAGATGCTAAACATTTGCTCTGTCATTGCAATTGTTTCCGGTGGCAGTTTTTGTTGCCACCTTTTGTTGTTGCTGCTGCACTGTGAAAAAAGAAACCACGAATAACGACTATGCCTTGGCAGATGCTCGCACGATTGCTAGTCCCATTTCAGGTTATATTTTATTTGCTTGGCGATCCTGTTCGTATTTGGGGCAGAGATAGATAGATATTGCCTGTAGAAATGGTGGTAGCTAAAACTTTATCTTTTTTTAAATGAATGTGAAATTAGCTCGTTTTCTCTGGATTTGGTAGAAATATATAAGACGATTATATATGCTAGGACGTTAGATCATAAACACGATTCTGGGTGTCCTGTTTTTTTTCCCAGTGTGCTCCTGCTACTTTCTGTTTGGTTTGCCGTTCCTTCTGTTTGCCATATTTTCTACATTCCTTTTGTGTGCTGCCTTCGTTTGGCTTTTCCAGGTCATTTGCTCATCCGGAACAGCGGAAAAGCTCTGTCCGGAGCGCCTGCCTACGCCGGCAACGGTCCGTCTCTGACTGTCTTCCCCTCCGACTGTTGCTTTGTCGCTGCCTTGGGCGGCGCAGGCACTTGTGCCGACACCACCCCTCTGACCCTATCCCAGGGGCTGGAAAGAGCAGGAACCCTCTTCAGAGCGATGACGTTGTCGGTAGGCATGATTTACAATCCGTTTACGACTTGAACTTCTAGGCTGGGCACCTGTCCGGCTAAGGTCACGAGGGGAATGGAGATTGTATTGGAATACAACCGACAAATTATTCAATTTCAAAGTTTCCCTTCGACATGCCCCCAGAGGGCATGCCAGTTTAATCAACATTTGGTCCGTGTTAATGTCTTTGGCCATTTCTCGGCTTTCGGCCAGAACCGAAATTGATAGTCCATTTAAGCGATTTTCGACAGGACAACGATGATGTCTTCTCACTCTGTTTGGTTTAACATTTCCCCAGGGCCGGATTACACCCGGAATGCGTCTCGTTAGCCGAAACAAAAGTAAAAATAATCATAAAAAGCGAAACAAGAAAAGAATCCTCTGCCCAGAAGCTTAAATGTCAAATGGGGCGCTCCATCTTCCATGTCTCGTTTATTGTATCCCCTTTTTATGCACAGTTCCCTTCCTTCTCCATTCCACCGCTGTACGAATACTGGAGTATTCTGTGTTGACGACAATCTGTAATCCAATGTTATTTCTTTTTCTCTCTGTTTAAATTTCCAGTATTGCGTGGATTAGATTTAAGGGCGAGGGTGTGCTGTTCCTTTGATGGATACCACTGCTATATGTATTCCGACGCGCCTCTCTGTGGATCCATTCCATCGCCTCCCCTCCATTCGGATTCCCTTTAAAGTTAAGCTTCTTCGGGCACTGATCCGACTTGAGTTGAATTGAATTTTGAGTTCAAATGAAAGGCAAAAAGGGACACACTACAATACATAGTTTTGTTTTGTTGTTTTCGCACATGACGTAATCGACTTCTGTGTGTTTATGATTACATTTATCCCACCCCAGTGGACTCCTCTAGCCCTACGACTATGTGTGCTTTTCGCTATCGGTATCAGCCAGTGTGACGACAGTTTTTACGATGGATGCCAGGATGCCCGCTCGCTTTTATGTCCTTCCTTAACTTTTGCGTAAACAAGTCGAAAGTCGAAAAGGTGGAATAGAAAAAAGAAGCCCCCATTTCCCCCTCCCCGCAGCGCACCCCACCGCACAAATGGAGCAGCCAGGAGGGAAAGCGAGACAGATAGAGGGGAGTTGGGATTTTTCTAAATGCCCTCAAAGCACATGGAAAGAGGCAGGACAGGGGAGAATCAACATAACGGGGCTGGCTTCTCCTCTGCTTACTTGACGTTCCCTTGTACCCTGTACGGTATACGATATGACTGGAACCTCGTACCACGATATAAAAGGTGACGTAAGGGCGCTAGAAATGGGTGATCCCCAAAGAAATCACAGCGAACAATAGTTAATAGCTGACCTATTCGAATTTTATAAGTATGCTTCCCCCCAATTCTATAGTGGATTACGAAATTTTTCAACGGTCTCAAAATTCTGTACCGCACTGTAAGAACGAATCTATTATGTGTGCCTCAGTTAATGTCGACAACCGTCGCCAACTTCTTGGCAATTCTCAGCAATGATATAAGCCACATACCTGAACCTTTCAGGGCCCTTTCCTCCTGTGAGCTTAAACCAGCTTTAGCCTCCATCTTTTGTTGCTTTTGTTGCGGTAGACGACTGCAAAGTGAAAGAATGTGAATAATCTATATGAGCATGTAATAATAGTTTGAGGCCAAAAGGGATTCGTCCTTTCAAGTTTTCAGCTAAGCCATCCCAACCGGCTCAGGACCCCCATGCCCATGCCCGTGTCTCTACCTTTTAGCCTCTCGGCTTCTCAGGCCGCCCATCCGCCCCTTTTCTTGTCCCACCCATCATCCCAGCCAAAATCTTGCGGTAAGCTCGTGTAAAAAGCTTAAGGAAAACTTTGTAAAATTTTTATCATAATGCAGCTGACAAAAACCCTCCAACACTGTAAATACTTACCAAAGTGAGGGGGCCGCACGGAGGCGGATAAAAGAATTTTGTTTCAAATCTGTGGATAAGTTCCCTAATGAAATAAGCCCGAGCAAAAGTTGCTCAAAATTTTCATGCATATCCCAGCAGACAATCGAAAGTTTCGCTTTTCTAACCCCGTGGAGTGAGTGGAGTGTAGCTTGCCCGAATCTATATGAATATTGATTGCTGCCGTCGGTGATCCTAGAGCTTTGTGTATTCAGGGCAGATTGGATTTCTCTGTGTGGCTCTGGCAAGCCATCTTCTGCCATTCATCGAAAGCAAACCTAACATCTGCCCCATTTCGATTGCGAAGTATCGGTTTTCATACCAGTTGACAGCAAATATTGCGGCCAAATTCCAGGCGACATGAAAGAGAAACTCTATTCAAACTCAAAATAAACTCATCCTGCCCCATATCACTCACACTCACACACACACGCCCACACCCCACCCAAACAGCCATAGAAGCATAACAACTTGTTTGATAGTCGAAGCGTAAGTGGTGACCCCGATGCTTTGTGCTCTGGGATAATTGGCCACCATGCCCCATTAAGTCCCAGAGACCATCAACCATAGACCATAAATTCGCAATCTAAATCTATATCTGCTGCTCCTGTTGCAATCGAGAATCTAAATTGTTAATCTAAAAAACATGAATTAAAATTTTCAGTTCCATAAAATCCTCAGTCATGCTGCCTAATTACCTTTTACGATGATTTGAAATATTTGTTCGACAACGCCCAATTTTCCCCCCACCCCACGGGCTGTTAAGCCAAGGAGGAACTACCTGAAAAATTGATGAAGGCTGGAAAAAGTGCTGGTGTGGGGTACGCGGGTGAGCCTTACTGCCGGAAAGGGGCAAAAGTTCTTAAAATTAATGACAGCTCAAGCACCTCCAAATCTGCGCCAATGTTTGTTTTTGCGTTTACGTTTGCTTTTGCTTTTGCTTTGGTTGCTTCTTTTTCACCCTCTCCTGCACCCCCACCAGCCAACCATCACTGAGTTTGACGGATTTGTGCGCAGTTTCAGATTAATGCTGCGATTATTGTTTACCGTTGGAATTACGCACTGTGGGACTGATAGGTGTTGTTGGCCCACATTCAGGTTTGGCTTTCGCCTGAGGTACATATGGTCATACATATACCTCTTCCAAGGATCCAGCTTTATCACAATGGGAACAAACGTTGTAGGTGTAAAAATAGCATAGAAATTCTCTGCCATTCAACAATTATTTAAACAATTTTATCCCTAACCTAAAAACAAAACAATTCAAGAATATTAAATTAAAATACAAAAATGTATACTCCGACCCACTGTGCAATGTTAGTCGTGACCGCCTTGTCTTTCTTATGCAAAATTTAACCCACTGTAGAGTAGAGTAGGTCGGTCCGCTCACTGGGTGCGGCGCGGTCGGTCGCTTGGTTGGATTGCTTTATTCATTCCAGACCTTCCACTCCCGTCTGTCGCGACGTCTTCGCATCCTTGCACTCGCTCATCTCGCATAGTGCCCTCTCTGTTACGGTGTACCTCAGCCTTCGTACCGCTCGGGCGATGGCTTTGTATTTATATACAGCTTCGCACGCACGATTTAAGGATAACGAGGATGGAATGCAGGAAGCGAGGCAAATATTTACACAGTTGGATGATTTAGATAAAGAAGACATGAACATGAAGAAGCCGACGACCGAGGCGGGTGAAAGCGACAGCAACAGCAAAAGCAACAGCGACGGGTAAAAGCACGGCCATGAAGAGGGGGTAAATAATCCCGGGGACATTTTGAAAACTGAGGACAGACATTATAAAGGGATAAAGAAATTTTAGTACGATGATGGGGGCTCGGGCGATGGCCGTGATTGGGTAGCATCACTTCATGAGACAACAAATTGTAATCCAAATTAATGGCATTATCTAGTGGGGTGTTCTTCCCGATTGTCTGCTTCATATTGTAGCAGTAGCGTAACGCCGTATAATATGTTGTACGAGTAATGCATGCAATAATCTATTTATGGCAAGCAGCGTTTGATTTAAAGCCCTGTAAGGCACATGTTCTCCCTGTCTTTTGGTATGCAGAGCCACGCTCACCTGGATAATTTATTCAGGCGAATATTGCAGTCACAGTCGACGGCAACAACATCAGAAATACAAACGAAAAAAACTCGAATGGAAATGCAAATGCTACAGCAGAAGCCCCACCGATACAGATGCACACATACTAACTACATATATAGATATACATATGTACATATGTATGTATGTATGTTTCGAACGGACCAGACCAGCATGTGCGAACGGAAACTCTATATTCTGCACTCTCCTGCACTCCTCCGCTCTCATCCAGCCGAGATGAGATGCTGGAATGAGCAGCGCAGTCTGTGAAATGGGCCCACTTGAATTTTGAATCTGCATTTTCCCAGCTACGTGTCAAATCCATCTAAAAGCTGAAGGGCTCACCCAGCATCCAGCTCACCCTCACCCCCGCCCTCAGATCTGCATGTAAATGAATGTATAACATATTTCAGCAGATTCGCACAACATTTAAATTATTTTGGGCATTGTGTCAACATTTCAAAATCCATAAATTTCGGCCACCACATTTGGAGCGGAGTGGCTAAGAGGCTGGGGCAGGGGCAGTAGGTGTGGCTGTGGCATGGTAGCAATCGAATTCTTTTATCGAAAAATCTGTGCCCCTCCAACGATGCCTAGATATGTATGCTTTTTGCTCCTCATGGTCTGTTTATTTGCTGTGAATTTATTTGACCAGTTGGTCAATATGAAAATACGAAATTGAAATATTCAAAATGGTTCTGCTCTTGCACAGCAACAGAGGCAGAATCAGGCGTAGAAGACGCAATAGCCAATATGCTCCATCGACACACCCACCTCCTGGTGTTTGCCTCCTAAATCCAAGTGAAATTCCTGACCGGAAATTGTTTCACAAACGTTGGCCAATTAATTTGAAAAAATAATGGAGAAAACTTTTCCATCGAGTTTATAAAAAATATATTTATAATTGAAAGAGCGGGACAGAGCGAGAGAGGGAGAAAGATAGGAAAGCAGAATTAGAAGAGCCTCGAGTAACTTTTTTATTATATTTAATCAACTGGCGGAATGTTTCCTTGACGAAAAGCAGGTTTACTAGATGCCAGAGCTAAACTTTTGCCTAAAGTTGATTACATGACTGTGATGCAGCATATGAAATGCATTTCATAGATAATAGATTTCAGCAGCAAGAGAAATTAGATGGCTTCAAAGAACTATTATATTATATAAAATGAGCAGGCGGAATAAATAGTGTTTGCTTTGCGAAATGAAAGGGTCTAGAAGTCAAAGGTTGTTCGGGGATGTATTTATGTTTAATCAATGTTTTCTCCCCCCAAACACAATGAATGCACGCACGAGGTGAATGTGAATGAAAATATAGAGAAGGAGGTGACTAGTCCACAGGTGGGACTTTCCAAATGGACTGGGGGATGGGATTTCAGTTAGGTTTCTGGATAGCTCGTTAGCCTTTGAGAAATATCCTCATTCCCTCTGCGATGTGGTCTAACCGACTGGACTGACTGGACAATTTTCCAGCAAACAAAAACCACGTTTCTAACGTTTCCTGCATACAGAAACCATATACATATATGTTCGAACATATAATTCACCCACAACAAGTAAAACTTTTTCCTTTACTCCCAAATAAGTTGGGGAAGCAAACACAACCACAAAAAGGCAATGCCAAAAGGTCTTTTTCGCAGGCATTCCTTCATAAATAAATTTATGATTTAAAATTCCTCACTCCTTTGTTGGGGAGACAGGGCAGCAAAAGGTTTTAGTGGTTCAACAGAGCTGTGGCCGAGGTTCAACTTAATGGTTGGCCTTTGGTTTGTAAGAATGGTTTCCACTTGGGATCCCTTCCCCAACCATCGCACCGGACCGACTTAACAAATTAGTCTTCATCAATAATCATCTGGGCAATAATTTATCTAAATAAGTTTTATTTGGTCAGGTCTTGGCGGAAATCACCGAATAAATGGCTTTCCACTCTATTTCCGGTCTCTCTCTCTCTCTCCCTGCTGGCGATGAGAGTAAGATAAATCAAAAGCAATTACATTCATTCATTCTCGTTTTGATGACCACCATCCATGGCCATGGGGGAATTAGCCAGTTGGTCCGACTGTTTGGACATATTTTGCCTGCTGGCTACATACTCGTACTCGCACTTGTGCCACCTGCCTTGGTAAATACTCCCACTCGCACATTCCGGGTGAATAATTTAGTTACTTCTGCTGAGCCTGAGCCTGAGCCGTAATTAAGTCGTAACAGGTGTGAAAGAGAATCCCCATTTCATTCGCCGTCGAACGTGTCTCTTTCTGTGTCTGGAACGGATCTGGGCCTTCACCAGAAATTCAATATTTACCTAGTTAAGTCCAAATTTAGCTTGAATTCAGATTCGGATTGGAGCTTCGTGGATTCGCCTGCGGGCTAGGCGACCTTCTGTTATTCGAGTTTTGCTTAATGGACAGAGTAATCCGAAGTAGGAGGAGCACGCATTTGTCTTAATTTTCACAGTCACTTCAATTTTCACTTTGTCGAATGACAAATGCCTGGGAGCGCTTATTTCATTGCTTATTCATACGCCGTAACCATTTCGCACGGATCCACGGGC